CAATTACTTGCAATATTTTAAAAAATATAATAAAATCAAGAAATGAGCCGATATCTAGATCTCTAGAAAACTACTTGCTCGAACAGAAAAATGGGCGTATGTTGCGTGGCGCGTGAGAGACTTGGACGTACGTGATGCGAGGCGGCTGGTGGAGTTTATATCACGATAAGGGATTTTCCGACCGGCCGGCGACAGCTTGAAAAATATGAGGAAATCGCTATCAAATTGATTGATCTCAAGTAGATAGCGGTGAGCGAGCGTAAGCAGGTTTCAACCCGTGTTGATGTGACCGTGCGTGAAGTGCTCCATATCGTGTCAAAGGAGGAGGGACATTAGGCATCGCATCAAGACAGGCTGGCACCAAGAGTTTAAAAAAGGTAATTTTAAGCTGGAAAAAATTGCACTGGAGATGTCGTAAATTAGAAGCAAACATTACTATCTTGCTACATCGTAATTCACAGCTCAACTGACTGTAACAACTTTCTTCAGTCTACAGTTCTACAGGGGTCGATTACTCTTCTATCGTAACTTCAATGTTTAAGAAGCGATTTTGCCTTAAGGCGACAAAAAACAATGGACGGCAAATAAATTTCGCAGCCAGCGACAAGAAAGGATAACTCATGGGACATTTTTCTCTCTTGGATTGCTTGTGAGCATGTTCTGCGCAAGAAGATAGGGAATACTTTGAGAATCAGTTTTCCCCGGCAATTCTGCATTTTGAAGTGAGAGAATATATGGCGGGGAAAAAAATAATACTGAGTAGTAATAATAATAATTTACAACAACAACAATAACAATATGAAGGGAAGACATGATCAAAATCAAGGTTACCGCAAGGGGGTGGAGCGTTTATTGAGTGGTAGAAATTTCTCTTTAGGACCACGGTGAAGGATTAGTAAGGCGATACAGAGATAATAGACACTGTAAGTGGACTGGGCGGGGAACAAAAGATCTACTCAACGATAGAAGGAGCAAGTAAAATCATGAGAGCCTCAGTTACATCTGCATGATTGACCAATTTTATTTTCATACCAAAGACCAGGGCGAAGAAGCTTATTAATCATGCATTACAACCTACCAGTTAAGAAGTATAAGAAAAACATTCTTCTTAAACTAGTACTTGCCTAAACATGTTTTGTTACGGTGTCTTTTCAATTCATGTTTGAGAAACAATAGTTTCCGGAGCATTTTATTCATGAGCCATTGATTGCTCCCCACTTTTGCTCCCCTAAAAAACTGCCAGTTCTCCTTGGACACCACTTCTAAAACGATCAAAATCAAGGTTAACGTGAGGGGTGGAGCGTTTTTTGAGAGGTAGAAAATATCGCCATACACCATAAAAAGACGGAGCATTAAACACTTCAGGTCCACAGTGAAGGATAACTAAACCAATACAGAGAGCCTAGACACTATAAGTGGGCTGGGCCCGGGAACTGCAAAGAATGTTTAGGGAAGCACTAGTTGAATGTTCATCTTTACGTATTGACTGGGAGGTTGAATTGATGGTTGACAATCTTCTTAGCCCTGATCTTTGGTATGAAAATAAAATGTGGCCATCGCGTGACTTCAGGTTATCGCGCTTTTAGATACAGCGAGTGTAGGGGTAATGCTCTCAGCGTGAATCGTTCTACCCACTCTCGGAGCAGATCTATGGCACTGAAGCACGCTCTGTGAGCAGAATTGAACGAATCTGCATGTCGCTGCCAATAGCAGACGGCGTTTACATATCGGAGTTGGCCAAATTTGAAAAGACTTACAAACGCGCGGTTTGGTTAAAGACCTATTATACTCTGTTTTTTTCCTCACTGTTCACCCGATAACATCCACCCTCTTAAATAGCACATGACTGAAATAAATTTCTAGATGGGTGCCTTCCATGTCGTAAATAACTTGGAAACTGCGCCATCCATTTTGACTATCACGTTTATGTGACTACCAGAAAATCAATATGAGGGGCCATTATAATTATTGTTTCTCTTACATCTGTCAAGAGAGAATACAGTAACTCATTCTCTCTTGTATACAGTACCTTTAGCCTGCGTAGCAGGCGCTAGGAAGTAAATGGGCACAAGAAAGAACGGGCGCGCGCGAGGGATTTACATCCTAGCATAAGGCCGGCTTCCCCACTTCTAAGCTCTCCTAAAACCCTTGAAATGCAGAGGTCCCCCTTTGTTTTGAAAGGAAATCGAGTTACGTTCTTTTTTAGGAGCCTTGGGGAAGGCTAATTTTGTTAGTCGAAATATTGGCCTCAAATAAATCAGAGCATTGTCGTATTGCCAGCCTTGCGCCATTCAGTTTTGTTTTAAGCCCATCTACATGTTTGATGCCGATACCTGCAAACAAAAAATACATCCGATTATAAGCTAGCCTGCGAACGCAGACTTATTTCCAGTCGTCGTTTTTCTTCACCCGAGTTACTTTCACATTTTTTATTGCGGAAATATGCCCCCCGTTACGAAGATGTCTAAGGCTAAGCTTATAAGCGGCAGTTTGATTTTGAGAAGCCCGAGTTAAGTAGTTTTCCTACTAGTCGCACTTTCGCCGTCAGTCGTGCCCACCTTGTTCGCCTCGCGGACCACACTGTTCGTCCGCAGATTATAACTACACTTTGATCCGTGACTGCATGCCAAAAGGGGCTACTGAATCTGGAACGAACAATGATAAGCCATATACTGTTACAGTATGATCTAAAGCTGCCTGACCCTAGGCTCTTTACATCAATCCACAGTGCTTGCTTCTCAGTTGCACCCCTCTTATAAAAATGCCAAAATTGGTCCAGAGTCTACGATCTTTGTCGCATTGTAAATATGACCAAGTGTGAATTATGAAACAGCTACTGTACGGTTGCCAATAACTATGCTCATACTTAGTAAAGCCCGTGTACCAGTCACCCACAATAGCCTAATTCCACTGCCAGGGCTCCTGCCAAATTCCTATGGAAAAAGAGAGGATATTAAAAACTCCTCTCTTGTATGGAACTATTCAAGGGTTTTATGAGAGACAAAATTAATTGTTTTCGCTAGCATCAGAGTTAACGAAACAGCTGCTTAGGTTAGCCTTTTACTGAAAAATGCCTTGTGTCACGAGTAAATTTTTGTACATAGATGTATGCTGCATGTGACCATGATGGTTCCCAGGCCTTCTGAGCCATTCAAATTGGCGACGCAGCACAGATTAGCCTTCAGTGCTGCCTTCAGTGCAATCAGTGTAGGCGTTTTCTTGGGGCGCGCGAATGTTTTTGCCCGCGAATATTTCTACTCTCCCCAATCTTCCTCTGTCGTAAAATCAAAGATGGCGGCTACAACAATACGAACACAGTGAACAAGGTTTGGCCCACCCAAAATACGCCTGCACTGCAGGCTAAGCGCGGATCAGATGTAGCATCGGCTAAATTTGTTGCAAATTGGACTGAAAGCGCTACCAGCTTGTAACTGATAAGGTGCCCAGAGTTATGGGACTTTATGGCACAAACAAAAACATAAAAGCGGCAGGGGTATTTTGCAGAATTGGAACGGCGAAATGACTCTGAGGTTTAGCGATTAAGGTAAGGAAACAGGGTGAATCAGGTTCCACTTAGTGTCATTATAATTGGCAAACTGACCTGAAACTTGATTCACTCAGTTTCCTAACCCTAATCACTCAACTTCATAGTCATTCGGCGTTCTGCAAAATTACCCCTGCCGGTGTTTCTCGTGCGCTATATCTCGATCCACGTTACAGTTACTGCATTTTAAAAGCTATGTTTCCTCGCTAATCACGGCCAGTGCATAGCGCAGAAACATAGGCAAATTTATCTTCCTTGTGTAAACCAGTCGCCCTTCTATTAAAAAATACATTGGAAAGGTTATTTTGTAGGCGTGCTTGTTTTATAAACCTGGATTTAGGCTTTTGTACATTATGCTTTTGCCTCCCCACTGAAATGCTCCACCTTAATGCTCCATTTTTCCCACTAAAATGCTGGGTCTCCTCCAAAAAGTCACTAAAATGCTCGGATAATGCTCATTAAACAAACGGTTTTTTAAATTAATTTTAAAGTTTACATTTACAAAAACGTGCAAGCCGGTTGCAAGTAACAACGACAACGTGTACAAGTTCATAAATACTGCCAAAAGAAACAGCTGTATTAGGTTTTTTGTGAATTTTGAGTTTTAGTCTTCATTTTCTTTAAAAAAGCAGGAACTCGTGGGGCATGGGCTCCTGAAAAAGTCCATTTCTATTTTATTTTCTCGGAAAAAATTAATTTTCCGGGGAAAATGCCACTAAAATGCTCGAATAATGCTCAATGCTTTTGCCTCACTAAAATGCTCGAAAAAATGCTAGCATAATGTACAAAAGCCTACCTGGATTCAGGGGCACCCAACGAGAATATAGTTCAAAACCACTTAAACATAGCATTGTTAAACGTATTTTAGTATTTAAACAGTAGATATGGGCATATTTTTATCCTCTAAAAATTTTTCATCTGTTCTGATATCCTAGCTGAAAGTCTAATGATCCGAAAATTATAGGAGCGAGCTAGGAGAGATGGCTGTTTTCGAAAGCTAGTTTGTTATCAAGCGAAAAACTGATGTTTAACTGATGGACAAAATTTTTAGAAATATTTGAATTAAAACGAATTCAAATACGGACCTCTCGCCTGAATTTGTCCATACCAAGTTTCTTTGTCTTCTTTGGACGCGAATGACATGATTTACTAGACCATCTCCTTGATAAACTTAAAAAGAAACACATTATTTCAATAAAATTAATTACATGTAAACTAACTGGCTGTTTGGCTGTTATATAGATTCTTACCGGCAATTTTTCGTCGTGGATCATCAGCAAATTAATCACCACTTGGACCAAAAAAAGAAAACGATCAAAACAAAAATACTGTTCAAGATTTCATCCTTTCGCGCCATCGTTCTCAAAATTTCGCGCCAAAAATTCGCGCCTGTGATCAAAAGCAGCGGCTTCCAAGGTAATAATATGCGCGCCCCACTTCCCGGTAAATTATGAATATTCAGGTTATACTTCGTTGTGGAGAAAACAGTTACAGCAATGAGCTTGTAAAACTGCTTGATTCTTGAAAAGAACTCTTTTTACCAGCTAGAACTCATGCCAAAATACAGCACAAGGACTTATGGCCGAAATCGCAGCAAAGAGTCGCAAATTTCCCGGGAATTTGATGAAATTCAGAAGAGCCAAAATTCGAATTCGACCTCTACTTCAGAAAACACTTTTACAAGAAAACTCAGCAGAAAGTCACCATGGTCGAGAACAAGTAGGGTCGTTGAATTAAGTGTTAGCAACTTGGCAAAGGAAGCAACTGTAGACGGATCAAAAACAAACAAACGCAGGAAATTAGACGTGATTGAGGAGAAAGACCCATTCGCTTTTGACGAAGATGACGTGACGACTCAAGGCTCAAAGAAAATCGTATCTCAAAGTAACGCCATCACCAAACAACGAATCACAAACCAGGCATTAACAACAGAATTTACCGATAAAAGTACAGATGATGAAGCTTATAGTAGCTCACAGGAATGGAGTGAAACTTCCTCACAGGGCGGTGAAAAAAAAGTTTCCAGTAATTACAGGAAAAAGCCAACTGGGGTAAGTCTAAGTATATTTTGCTGAGAGATAGAGGGTAAATAATTGTCCAATTTCAGTGAACTATCAAGCTTGCAATTATTATTTATTCATCAAATTTTCGCGTGGAACGAATGAAAAATAAAACAATACCAGGAGAAAAGCAATAGGTTCCCCAAAAGTGCTTTATGATCAGGCATCACAGTATTCGTATAATGTGTTTTTGTTTTAATTTAACAGATGAGTTGGCTCATAGATGTGTGCAGTTTTATCACGCGGGTCTTCTAAGAAATGTATTACTTTGGTTGTCAATGAAAAAAACACAGTAATTGGTATTATTAGAAAATCACCCTGGATCCAGTATACCCAAAAAACTTAAATTAGTTAATAAACTAATTATTAAAAATAACACATAACAAAATGACTTAAACTGTGACATGTCCATTATTGTGAACTTCATTGGCTTCAACACGTTAGTAATCATCACAGTTGTGTACACTTCTTAAGCAGTTAAAAAAACCCTGAAACATATTCAAGCTTGAACAAGATTCCCATAGCTTTTGTGATGTCGAGTGCTGCAGTGCTCTTACCACTGACCTATCATGCCAATTATAAGCTGGTCACTTTTTGGGTTTGTAATATACCGGTAGCAAATGAAGATGTGAAAATGAACAAAAGGGAGATGTAAAGAATCAACCATAAGAGGACACAGAAAAAAATCTGAGCCCCAGATGGGATTCGAACCCACGACCCTCCGTGTTCTAGATCGGATGCTCTGACCTCTGAGCTACTGAGGACTCGTTGGCGAGCAAGGGTTGCTCGCCAACGAGTCCTCAGTAGCTCAGAGGTCAGAGCATCCGATCTAGAACACGGAGGGTCGTGGGTTCGAATCCCATCTGGGGCTCAGATTTTTTTCTGTGTCCTCTTATGGTTGATTCTTTACATCTCCCTTTATTTCCTTTATAATATTAATATCAGTGGCATAGAAAATGAACAAATTACATTTTATACATGTTTATCATTTCTGTGTTAAATCTTTTTCCCACAGTTCTAATGTATGAAATATCTTACGTTCATTTTCGTGTCAATGGCTTTGTACAGATGGTACAGCTGCTATTGTCATCCTGGTACTGACCACAGATGGTACTGTTTGTCTGTAGTATTTTTTCTTTTCATATTGTTTCTTTGTTACTTTGCAGTCCCCTTTCAAGAATTTTCTAAAGAACAATGACAAGTCATTATCACCAAATAAAAGCAACTCTTTAAGGAGACTTTCAGCCTTGGTAAGAGCTTAATAATATTATTATGTTTACCCGACTTACATTTCTTATACTTGAAAGAGAACTTTGTCCTTGACCCAGCTACTCATAGGCCAGGTTGCAGTCACTCAGGTTTACAGTACAAAATGTATTAACAACTTTTTTAAAACTTAGAGTAACTTGTTGATTTTACTGCAGTAGGTGGCTAAAAAAGCCAGCTGCCAGCTCCTGATGACGGCCCTGAATTAACAAGAACCTCAAATTACAAAATTGGGTTGAAAATTTTGCTTTTCCTTGGGTTAAAGGGAATCATCGTGGAAGAAATCCATGCAGCGTGCAAAGAAAGTAGTGTCCGATAGCCCGGGGCTAGTGGATTTTGCTATCGCGCCAGTGAATTCTGTTCTTAATTTGCCCGACGGGCAAGTGAAGTACTTTTGAGGAATTCAACCTACAGAACAACTGTGAAATCATTTCTGCTCATCAAAAACTTTGGGGGGACTAGTTGAAATGACCTTTGGGCTAGTAAATGCCAGCTTCACCTTGCCCAAATTGCAAGCTGTAAAAATGACTTTCTTTGCACACTTCCCACAGCTAGCATACATGCATAGCGTAGACCACAGACTTTTATCTCTGCAGCCCCTCTTTGTTTTATTTTGGTAATGACTTGATTTACTTTATCACTGGTTATTGTTAGATTCAGTTTGTCATTCCTAAACCAGTCCCACGTGTTGTTTTGATTGGGCATTGTAGTCGTTCTTACCTCTTACCATCCTTGTTTGTATGGCTGCCCAGTTTATATTATACCCATTGGCTCTATTTATTTTGTTTGAAGCCAACTAGTGCAGATTTTAGTGAGGACTCCCAAGATGATGAGTACGCTGATGTTCCAAGTGTCAAACAGACTTCATCATGGCCACAGCCAAAGAAAGAACACTCTGCGAGTGCAGTAAGAGTTAAAAGAACAGAGAAACCAGTGAGTCAATAGTTATTGTTAAAGATCAGCAAGTAACATCAACATCTGTGACTTTTTTTGAATTCCAACCCCCAGTCTGTGAAAAACTTTGTTACTATTATCATTTTTTTAAAATAGCATAACAGTTTCCTGTCTTTGCCTTTGCTATGATGGGTAACAATTTTGTTTTTACAATTCTAGCTTTTTACAGTTGTGAGAAATGTGAAACAAGTTCATGAGTGCTTGGAGTCTGGAGAGGATCAGCAGGTGTGATATAGTGTGTCACTGAAAATGAAACCTTGTAATATTAATGATAATAGCAGTTTCATGTTGGAAAAAAAAACAGACAAACAAAAAAGTAAACAGGAGTTCAGAAAAAAAATAAATAGAATTAATTTTAAATATTGAATATTAATTGTTCAATTAGCACTTCTGTTAGGATGAGTCAATTATGTACACTCAGGTTCATTAAAAATCCAGCTGATAGAGGGCTAACGGTGTGGATCTTGGAGAGATTAATCATCACTAAAAATGTGGGGAAAATCCCATAATTATAGCTTCCAAGTACCCTTAGTCTGTAGAATTGTATCACACATGGACAGTGAGAAGATTTGGCAGCATGACTTGCTTCCCTCTTTTCTTGGTTTAAGACTCTTTGCCTCTTGCAGTTGAGAACTTCCTCATAACCTTCCAGGACTACCTTTGGGAATCTACCCAATCTAGCTAATCAATATTCAATAGGTTGTAATATCTCCTCCTATTTCATTCAGCATTTAGTAAGTACTGAATTTAAAAAACCTTGATCTTTTAACAAACACTTAGCTTACATTTCATTATAACCAAAGATCAACATGCAAAGAAAGGCGTGTCCAATAGCCCGTGGCTATTGGATTTTATTATCGGGCTAGTGAATTCTGTCTTTAACTTGCCGGCCTGGTAAACGAAATTTTTTAAGGAATTCTAATCTCAAAAGAACTGTTATCGACCCTGCTCATCATTGGGCTAGTACATGCTAACTACAGCTTGCATGAATGGCAAGCTGTAAAATTGACTTTCTTTGCTCCCTGAAGGATAGTAATGTAGAATAACATAGAGATGTATACTGGCATGTGCTGACTTTTTCTTAGTTCTTTGATGATGTCGAGTACCTTCTGGATGGCCTCAAAGAGAGCCGATCAATATCAACACGTTGCCTTAGTGCGCTGGACTTTGCATCACATTGTTCTCAAACATTATTTAGAGTGAGTCTAAGAGCTCATGGATTTTCACCCAAGATTTTTTCTTCCCTTCAAGATGCTCCGTCCGATAAGGTGAGGATTCCAATAAATTGAAACAGTTATCACATTGTCTTAACAAGAATCAATGCCAGTAATGTTTTGTAATAATGTAGGGTTTATCCATGGTTCACAGGAAGTGGTATATTAATTTTTTATCCATTACTGACAATGCCAAAGAGAAGGAGACACGGCCTGATGAGCCACTTGGCTCAAATACCAACTTAACCTTCACCTTTTACAATGTATGAATTAAGATTATTTATTGAATAAATACAGTTGACTCCTGATAACTCAAACCCTCGCTAACTCGGACCAAAATCGATTTCCCCTGGATTTCTGTCATGCATTTACTGTAATTTTACCCTTGGTAACTCGAACCCTCGATAACTTGAACCTCCCACTAACTCAAAGTAGTTTTTTCCCCCTCAGATCATTTCTATATAATTTTACCCTTGATAACTCAAACCATGTTTTGAGCCCTTAAGAATTGGGGAAAAAACAGTCTAGTGGTGTCTGAAACATTGACTTTTGAATATCCCATTGGGCATGTTGTTGCTTCTCAAAACAGTAAAACGCATGCTCTATTTAGGCTTTTGTTTTGTTATGTTACGTTCTGATTTATAATCTAGAAGTATCTTTCAATTTTCACTTAACATTTCTACAATTAACTGTGATTAAAATGTTCACTGTGCGGTAAAAACTGTTTTTTCCTTACTCCCGGCTATTTTCTTCAAGCTCCCAATAATTCGAACTCCCGATAACTCGAACTTTTTTTGATTTCCCTTGAAAGGTTTGAGTTATTGGGAGTCAATTGTATGCATGTTGGTGCAGTGACTAGCACCTTTGCACTTTTACTCAGTTAACACTTTAATTATTTACTCATTCTACTGCCATTCCAGTGCCTTGCTCTTTGTACATCAGCTATAACCTTGATGTTATCTCAAGATCGTCAAAATGCCGACTTGGACAGATTTGCTCTTGGTGAGACCCATTATCATCTACTGTCATGTAGATTGCTCTTCTCTCATTCCTTTAAAAAAAAAAAGTCCCATACAATATACCATGCACTTATTGCCTGTTAGTGGACTAACCATGCCCTTCAGCAGTTCTCTCAATGTCCAATGTCTTTGTGACAGTAGGGAGTTTTAGCAACGAGGATGACGATAGCAGCAAAAATGTCACCATTAAAAGTCTTTGCTTTGTTTCAAAGTTTGTCCTAATAATTCAGCCCGCTTTAATAAAATGTCAACTGTAGTTAAATAAGTATCATTGGAATTGAATTAATTGGAACCTTATGGAAGATTAGAAGAAGAAAAACCAATACAGTGGAACCCCGCCTTACGACCACCTCGTTAATACGACCACCTCGTTATTACGACCACTTTTTTTTGTCCCGGCGAAACGCCCATACATTTCCTCATAAGAAAACCCCGTTAATGCGACCACCCCGTTAATACGACCAACGACCACATTCTGAAATCCCAACCTGTATAATCCGTTATAATTTTACCCCGTTAATACGACCACGCAAACCAAATGCAGCTGTAATATGTCCTGTTACTGATCACTCATAACATCAAATAGCAAATTACAATAACCTGATACAACAGTAAAACATTAACACCACACCGTGGTTTTACATCTGCTTTAGCTAAATTGCAAAGCAATTTAGTCAGTCATTTAACCTGTTTTTAACACAGTTTGGTTTTTTTCACGCGGCTACCTTCCTGCTCCTTGGCTCTCTTTAAGGTTTCGTCTGTTTTACAGAAAGATTGTTCTGAAGGTCAGTAGGTTTCTTAGCATTTCAACGTGCTTTGTCTCGAGGTACGTGTAAAGCCAACTCGACCGGTCCAACTCTGTTCACGTTTCGTTTTTATACAGTTATGTTTATCTTTCCGTGATTAATGTTGTATAATCATGTATATATTAAAGATAAAAGATCAAATTCTTAACATTGCATCCCGGATTTTTATTTTTAATGTTTAAAAACATTGTAATTGTCATGTACATCTGTCAAGATGCCACTTAAAATAGAATGCTCGTGAAATCATTTGTTGTTGTGTGTTTACATCCAAAAAACTTGGCCCGTTGGTGGTCGTATCACATTGTTCCAGTGGTTCATTTTTTTGTCGTTTACATCCATAAAACTTCCTTGGGCACATTGTAGTGTTTCTTTTTTGATGTCATTAGTTAACATGATCTCTAGGCCACCTTCATAATAACTGACATACTGGTATGTTAGTGTACTGACTTTATACTCCGGTCTGTTTATCAGAGCTGATAATTAAGTTACTGGCAGTTGACAGCAACAATCAACAGTCCAAGATACTGAAGGATTACAACAAATACGTTACTAAAGTCAGGTTTGTTTTAAGCTTTATTTCTGTTCATTATTAAGCCAAAAATACAATGAACATATTTTTAAATTTCAGAGAACTACTCAAAAGACCTTTAGTTAATTGAAGGATGGGAAAGACCTTATCTTAATCAGAGCAGGTAAAAACTCCAAGTCCGATTGCTTGGGGCAAGTAGATTTTGATGTTGGGCAAGTAAAAATAGAAATTTTATCCTTAGTAGTCCTATGATTCAAATCCTGTAGTTACTCTGTATCTGGCACAGCATTTACGTACTAGTCAATCTAACCTGCAATCATGCAGTCCTTCTTCTCTTGTGTTTTATAAATGAAAAAACAAATACTGCCTGATCGCAGGTTACTAGTGATCTAATTGATACACTTTGTTGTAATCTACAATTTATTATAAACAGTACCTTAGAACTGTAAAATGATGATAAGGCACTGTGTCCACTTGAGACAAGCCATATTTATAAATGGGGGCAAGTGAAAAATGTAGTTTACTCGCCCACTGGGCCAGTGGATTTCAAATATTTTTCCTGCCCTGTTAATGACAATCAAATGTTATTATTCTGCAACATGTTTTTGCAAGTAGTATTGATTTTATACCAAATTTGTTTTTGTTTGCTTCCTGTAGAACATTACTAGAAAAACAAGGTGCATCAGATGAATTACTGGCAACTGTGGGTGATGATATCAATGTAAGCCATAGAGTAATTATGCACAGTATAATCACTTTTTTGCAGATAAATTGGCTGATTATATCTTGAGTGGTTGGCAACATTTTGTGGGCCCTACAGAGTTATTGCCACCCACCTATAATAGCTAAGGGACGGACCATTAGAAAAGTTATGGGGGGGTGGGGAATTTTCGAGCCGCAGGAATTTTTTTTAGGTCATAGCATGAATACTTTTTAGGGTTAACTGGCATGCATGAATTTTTTTTTTGAGTTAATTTTCCCTTTTGCGAATATATTTTTTGTACTTTGCCCACTCCCCCGTAAGTTTTCTAATACTCCGTCCCTAATTCTAGCTAATTGTGGGTAACATAGTCATATTATAAATTATTTTCAAATTGAATAAACTGTTGTTGGTGGTGAGAAAAAAAATGATACTTTAGCAATAAGTAAAATGCTTATGCTCATTGTCCTTCAAAATAGAGAAGGTAGTAATGTTGTTCTGATCTTGACTTCAGCCTGCATCTCTGGCTTGTGAGTCCTTGCTGTCATTGACATCACAGAGAACAGGGGAGTGGTTCAAGGAAGAGATCCGACTCCTGCAAGGACTGGATCATATTATGGACATAGGTAAACTGGTGTCAATGTACAAACTACTGTGTTTTATGCAATACACATACTTGCACATATTTTTTAAAATGTAGGTCAAATATGGCAGTTATTATTGATGCCAAAGAGCTTGGTCTTCTTATAAATACCACTAATATAATGATAAATATTGATTACTAAAGTTACACAATGCAAGCTCTACCTTCATGCAAGTGGTGCAAAGTAAAAGCTCCTTTGTGCATGAATGAATTTGGGCAAAACGTGAATAACACTGGGCCCTAGTTAGGCAAAGATTATCACCAAGAGAATGTACATTCCTGCTTGTGTCCTGGGTACAAATAGACTGATCAAAGTAATAAAATTAAACATCATCTCTTTTGGACCTCAAAGTGTTTATCCTGAGACAAGGATGAAGCTCATTGATGACGAAATATATCAAGAATGAGGCACAGTGTTTCATCACCAGATGAAACACTCAGAAGAGAAACAAAATGATTTTAGAAGAAGAAATTAAGGATGCAAAAATGAGCAGTTTTTCATCTGATTTCCAAATGCTCATTAAACATTAATTTCCTTATGAACTATTAATAAGTTTGAGAAGTAAAGGTCAATTTGCAGGACAGTAGTATAGATTTAAGGGAAGAAATTAAGAGTACGTTCTTGTTGAATACATTGCTAAAGTAATTGTTCCTTTATTTCCAATACCTACCATTGTTGTTTAGGTGTTAACACTATTGACCAGCTTCTAGCAAGACACTCAGATGGCAAAGTACAGTCTGAGCATGTATCAATTTCTAAGCTGAAGAAGATGACAAGATGCATGAAACTACTTGAAAACGTGAGCAATTAATTGATCATAAAAAAACAGTAATTTTCATTAAAAAGTGTGTGCCTTGAGAAAAGCCCAAAGTGACTTCTGATAAACTTCAAATTCTCCTTTTAGACTGACCCATAACTTCATAAGAAACAAAGGAGAATTTGTTACGAGACCACAAGTCTCTTAGGGCTTTTTCCACGCTCTCCTTCAATTGTTTCCTCACAAGACACCCATGTACTTAGTGCTCTAAGCTCAACTTTTTCCGAAGTAGACTTTGAACCTAAAATTTCAATGAAGAGATAAATAGATAATCAAAATGACTGCCAAACCATCACAATCAAATTTGGAGGTGCACGCGACATCTCAAGGCTTAGATGAACTACTCGGCAGACAGCCAGGTGAATTAGAAAGAAAACTGAGCTTAAAAAATTATTTATGTTTCCTGCAAATGTTTCATTATCATTGGGATCATAAAGAGGAACTAATTAAAACATGCACTTTGGCTTGGCAAATTATGCCCAAAAAAGTTCTTTGCACTCACCTTGAAGACCAAAATGGTCACAGCTTGCTGTGCTTGTGCTCTTCAGAACTTGTCCAAACATCTATGTGCATTCCAGATTGAATTGGATTATTTAAGTGTTGGTTTTTGAAGAGAGGAATACCAGGTAACCTGGAGAAAAACTTCAACAAACAATCAAGAGGACCAACAACAAACTCAATGTTCATACAGCGTCACTTTTGCAGGTCACATTGGTTTAAGGCAAGAGCTCTCACCTGACTGTACACCCGTCCCTTGCTCCCCTAAACTGCATGCCAGGCCTTTGGTGTTAACATTTGTTTCATTTACTTATGATCTTATGCTGATAGGTTACAATCCAGAATTCAAGTAATCAGCAACACATTATAAGTTACGAGAAAGGTTATTTTGTCTCTGCATTGGTCAGGTAAGGCAGATTCTCTGTGGATAAATGGTGTATGAAGATTTTCATAATCTTCTTACTGTTAACAATTATTATTAACAGTAGGAAGATTATGTAAAATTAATAATATTATTGTTCTGTGCTAAGTGAGCAAGAACTGGGGCTAGACTAGTACTATCAAAATTCATTTGTAGTGTTGTGGCCTGATAGCAAACTTAAAAGTGTCATGTTTTGGACAGAACAATCATTTTTGTGGTTTTTAATGTCAGCTTCTTGGTATAGTTACACTCAGTGAACAAGCTTGGACAAACATTCTTTGTTATTAAATCCTGCAAATACATACTGTTCTGTTTGGTGATTTTGTTTGTCTCAAGCTAAATAGTTAGTACTGTTTGGTTATTTTCCAGGTTATTACAGCTATGTCTCAATGCTCTGAACAATGGCATCTCACAAAAGAAAGTCAAGGTGAAACCAGACAAAGCTTTTGAAGATTGCTTTTTCAGTATTCTGAAAGTTTTCCTGAATCTTACTCACAACTTTGGTAAGTCCACTTGCAACTTTGATTTCAGTGAAACTGCATCAAAAATTTTCTAATGGTCCCTTTTTCTTGCAAATAAATGCTTCAATTTTAAATATTCAAGTCTCATTTCTGATTTCCAGAACCAAAATTTTCTTCGCAGTCATTTGCCAACCAAAGATCACACCATCCTCCTCAGGTCTTTGAGATCACCTGCATATTGGTCCCAAGCTCCCTGGGATCAAATGTGTGACTAACACCCCTGCTCCCTAGAGCAGCTTCATTCCTACTGAGCTGAATTAGGCACCATTCAATGATTAACACATTTTTAGTAGTTTAAGCACCATAGAGTACAGTGGAGTATTTGTTTGAGTTATCAACCCCTTAAGCCCCAATATCCACAGACAAATTCTCCACACTGATCTCTATATATTTCCTTAAAGAATGAGTTGAGAGAATTTGACAAAAGATAAAAGCATTTTCTCTTACGTGATCATTTTATTAATTCTCAAAACCTAGTCTCTTGACAATGTATGGATATCATTGGGAGAAAATTGACGTTGGTCACTATCGGGACTTAAAAGGGTTAATGATCAAGGTTGTAAGAGGTAAATGAGGGAAGTTACCTGTTTCCCCTACCCTATCCCCTTCCATACCCACCCTCCCCCCTGTGTTATGTTACTGTATCTTGTTTTTTGGCCAAAATTCCGCAGCAGTTAAGAACATAGCACAGTGTTAAAGTTTGGATAATGTGTTTAAGATACATCAATATCCATCTTCCGATCAAGAATGTTTTAAATACCATGAATTCTGTAGATACTTGGTGGAAAATACCCGTAACTTAAACTAAACTAAGCTGGTCATTTTTGTGAGGTTTCGTGTATTTATTATTCATTATGATTTATGAAAATAAAAGTTATCCTTGGCAAAACCATTCCTATTGACGTACACCATCTATGAACAGTACTCGAAAACTTGTTCTTGTAGAGGCAGGCAGCTCATGTATTGGACAGCAAGAAGGTTTCCTCTCTTCTCTTCTCTTGACTGTTTTACAGGTTAGTAACACCTCAACAAACATTTGGAAGAAAACATTAATGTTACCATACTTGTAATTTAATAATAAAATTATTAGTTTCAGTTCACAAGCATTCTTTCACATTTTTGGCTTTTTGAAGTGATGCTGCATCATAATGTTGTAAATTTAGTTACTAATTTTTTGGTATCATTATAGCAGTCCATAGAGTTGTTATATTGTAGGCAGAACTGTAATTTAGTACAATCAATTCTCTGTAAGACAGATACCTTTGGGACTGGCACTATATGTCTGTCCATAGAAAGTCAACTGAAAGGAGCAAAGAAAGGCAGACCAACTGGGGGTATCTATTTGAGCAAGGTGTCCATCTTATAGAGGTGTCCCCTAGGAGAGAGTTTACTGTCATGCAAGAAAACTGTCACTGTATAAACAAAGTAAAAGTCAGTTATAAAATCGAAGTGCATGTTGGTGTCACCATAAAGCATCTATTTTCAAACTTAAATTTGCCCTGGATGATTGTTTTGTTATCTTGTTTTTATGTGCCATTTTTAACACAAACATAATATGATTTGGTTTTGTTATTTAAGTTGCCACAGTTTGTTGCTGAGAGTAAAATGTTTGACCTGCACTTGCTGGTAAGTGTTTATTTGTCCATTCAAGAAAAAGTGTAAGGCTTTGATCAAATATCATTTCATTAAAAATGTTATTATAAAAAGTTTGTTAGTTAGTGCATTTTTTGTTTTGTTATTTCAGAGTTTGGAGCTCTTGTACAACATTGTTGAAGATAGTAAACAGAACATTGCCACCCTGGTGCAGCTACGTACCTCCCCCTGTCTTGAGAGTCAAGAGGTAGATAATCAGGGGGACAAGATCAGTGCTATTGAGGCTCTTGTGCAATTGTTCCTCATTAGAGAGAAAGCTGCTAGAAATACAGATGAGATGACATCAGGCTTATCAACTGAAGGTAACTCATTTAACCCCTAACGGTGACTAAAATCTTATTTCTCCTAGCCTGCAGTGCAGGCGTATTTTGGGTGGACGAAAGCTGCTTGTTTATGTTCATATTGTTGTAGCTGCCATCTTGGATTTTATGACAGAGGAAGACTGGGGAGAGTAGAATTAGTAACCCTTAACTCTTTTGGAGTTTCAACAAAATTAAACTTTTAACTCCGCAAAAAGCATTTGAGCACCTGAAGAAAACACCTTAAAAAAGGCAGACTATAATCAGGTTGAAGGGGAATTGAACGCACTTCTCTTGAGTCCGTTGGGGAAAAACAAGGATCTCTCGCTGCTTCGCAATTAATCAGAGTTTAACGGTCGTCTGCACGCAGAGAAAAGGAAAATGCCTGAAGAAAACACCTGCACTGCAGACTATATTTCTCTTTAAAAACGTGCCGCTTAATTAATCTAACGGTCGTGAGAGAAAAGGAAAATATAATATTCACAGAGTTGTTGATTGTTAATCAAATTCTTCTCACCATTACCATAGAAACTGTCTGAAGAACAGTAGTACAATGTCCGTTGATATCAGCAATGGTTTAAAAGGTTTTTAAAAAACTTTGGTGGGTTGAGTACTGACCTATGATGACAACAGGTCTGACATTTTATAGAAAAGTTTGTTATGTCACAGAATATAAAGTCTACAATACTGGCTTAGTGCTCAGGTTTCTGAACAGATGGAGTAAATTGTTTGACTTTTTTCCTTGTTTGACTTAAACTGATCCCTGGAATGTGCTTCATAGTGAAAAGAAATTAATTATACTAATCAATTGGTCTTTTTTTATTGATTAGAGGAGAGCAGTCAAGACTCCCTGAAACAGACCAAAGATGGGGGTTGGATTTGTGGAGAAGACATTGATGTTTCTGTAGATGAGGGAGGCAAAAACGAGACTGAAGTACAAGAAGAAGTCCTGCCACTTGAAGTGCAGCTTGGCAAAGGTAACAGCTGAGTTTGTGGTGCCTGCATTATGTTTTATTGGTGGTTTCTTGTTGTCACAGATGCTGCAATCACAAAATGATATACCAGTAATATTTTTAAAATACCACACAGTGTAGGGCTCAAAAGCAGACTTAGATTTCAGCTCTTACATTTTATAATTCATTCTTTCTATTGCTTGAGAGATTTATTCTGACTGGTCAGTATTTTGTTTCTGTGCAGCTCTACAAAAAGCTGGTGAGCACATGGAAGACAGCGTTGTGGCTGCATATGTGTCACTTCTCCTTGGTTGCATATTACAAGATAATGAGGTGAGGCTGTCGTTATTGATCAATAAAATATCAAAATAAAATCTTAACATATAACATATGTTGCTCTTGTTTGATGATACCAATAGTTTGAGAATGTCCTTGTGCCAGGCTATGCTTAATTTAATTTTTCTTTGTTTCCACCATTATCATACTTAACCAAAAAACAAGGAAAATAACTTAACCAAGGATAAAAGAATACTGAACCACTCATCTGACACACCATAGCTACTGATAAATAAAAACTAAAATTCTTAAAATTTGTCACAGGCAAACCAAAGCTTTATCCGTGGTCTTTTGCCCGATGGAGATTTTTCCTTGCTTGTTATTGTTTTGAGAAAATTTCTCCGCTTCATTAAACTCACAGTGAGTACTATTTTATTATGTTGCATTTATTTGATTTTTGTGAACTGTTATTTAAGTAGGGCTCAAAATCACAGCTGGTTAACAGACAATGTCTGGCCAGAATGGCATCTTGACCAGCCAACAACTCTGCTCACCAGTCATGTTGGCCATTCACACAGACTCTTATGTCGTGGACAAACAGCCAAATCCTCACCTGCAAATTTAAGATTTTGTCTCTTTGTAAAAATAGATTCATGTTCACTAATAGAAAATAACAGAAGGATTAGCTCACTTTTTTCCCAAGTTTTTGACTAGTCAGAAAATGAGATTTGACCAAGCAAAATTTTATTTGGCTGGTTATCGTGTCGGGCCACCGTCCAAAATTATTTTGAGCCCTGACTTAGGTAATTTGAGTTCCTGTGTTTCTTAATACTTATGGTGCATGAGGTCTTGCTGCTTATTTCACTCTGCCAAGTCCCAGAAGTGGCCAACAACAATCTTCTCCCAGCAATTTCAAAACATCATCAGGAATAAAGGTCAGGGAGAATTACATGTAACAGGATGATCACCAAAGAGAACATGCTTTGATCTTTTCTCAAATTCTCTAACTTTACGGAAATGTATCACATCAGTCTGGAGAATTTGTATGTGTCGAGATTGGGGTTTAAATGGTCAACTATGTTACACAGTTTTCTTGGGAATTTTTATTAATGTTAATTCACTGGAGTGCCTGTAAACTAGCTTGAGCAGTTTACCCTTTAAGCCTCAAGATCCAGACTGATCTCCATACATTTCTTTTAAGAATAGTCAGGGTTGTCACTAAGATTTCAAGTTGCCATGTAAATACAACAAGTAGGCGGGGAATCAAACGGCTAGGGATTTCTTTTGGTTCTATTTTTGTTCTCTTTTCCAATAAAAGTAGCCGGGGGCTACACTCATAGTAGCCAGGGAAAATCCCCGGCCCCCGGCTCTTAATGACAACCCTGATAGTTGAGAGAATTTGGTTTAAGATCAAAGCATTCTCCCTTTGGTAATCAATTTAGTAATTCTCATAACGTTTACTCTTGATGATCAGCTGATGTTGTTGGGAGAAAATTGATGTTGGTCAGTCTTGGGACTTAAGGGGTTGACTAATTTTACTTCATCTGTTTTTGTGATGTTTTCAGAGTGGTACAAGTGGACATGCCATTGAGAAAATTGTTAAAGTCTTGGAAAGTTGCCGGTGAGAACCGAAGAACCATGCAGAAGAACAATAAACTTACAGTTTAAACTTAGTGATAATAATTAGCAATAATTATTATTGATATTATAAGTATTACACTGTGTGTTTGTACTGTACATATTTGATATTATTTGTTTCATAACTGGGATGTGGAAGTCTTTAACAAGTACAAAAGTGAAAACAGACTTTGCAAAAGTGAATGGGAATATTACAATTATGATAGTGTTGCATATATTTAACTTAATTATGTGACTAATTTGCCTGTGTCATTCATTGCCACCTCTGAAATTTTGGTTTAAATTTGAAACTGAGAACATACTTTGCAGTCCTACAGAAGTTGATTGTGAATGGGATGTATTTAATAATTTACAGATCGGAAACTGACTTTTTGACACAAATTTACAACAGCTTCATTACAATGATAATCCTGGTAAATGGAGCAAAGTTCTAAAAAGAATGATATTTAACATAGTAGAAGTGTGATGTCCTATATTCACTTGGCAAACCATTGCTTTAAGGAATGGCCAAGTAATGTTATTAATGCTGGCCATTTTAAAACTTTTCATTAGTTATTCAGATCCCATTGTCTCAGACACAAAGTATAGACTTTGCTTTTTTACATTTTTCAGTTATAGGGTTGAAAGTGGAAAAAGAGTTTATGACAATTTCACTTTCCTAAACCACACATTCATTATACCACGGTCACACTACTTAGATTCTACAATATATTATTATTATCATTATTATTATTATTATTATTATTATTATTAATGGAAGACCCTCTAACAACATACATGCATAGGTGCTCAATGGATTTGACAAAGACTTTTAAAAATTTTCAAACTGTTGTAAAATATTTCCTTAAGTATTACGGGGCTCAAATCCCCTTTTCATTCGTAACAGGTAATTTGAGCCCTTAAATGCAGAAGGGAAAGATTTAACAAAAAATTTCAGAATTTACAAGGACTTGTATGGAAAACCACTCAAGCATGACTGGGTGGCAAGAGTTGTTTTTCTCATACAAATGCTTCTAATTATTTTTGGCAGCCATTGCAATCACGACTTTTGAGATATGACAGAAAATGTACGGGTTACCTAATTTTAATATGCTCTTTCAGCTCGTGCTAACAAAATTTTTCAAAAGCAAACTGTTTTCGTGTTTACCGAAAGTTGATCACATGATCAACTAATGCAAAAGGCCTGTAGTTAGCTGTTCTAAATCCAATGCATAAGTTTCAAGTTTTTAATAACATGTAAATATAATCTTTTAGCATTCAAAACCGCTAAAAAATTGATGCAGCCCCAAAAAATTTTTTGCATGAAAATATAAACTTTGACATGTTTTCATGTTATTGAATGGAATGCAAAACGACTTTTCTGCTACTAATGATTTCTTTTCACAACACTTTTAAGTACTTACTATAAGCCATGGAAATAAGAGCTGAAACTACCATGTTTGCATGTTATTGAATGGCAAAAAACCCAGCTTACTACTGTTTGTTACAATAATTTATTTTACTTAGTGTTAGTTAATAAAAATTCAATATCATCATCAGTCTCTGTGTACATGTGGTCATCATTGATTTAACTGATTTAATTCATGACGTCTTGATCATTCAGATCATTTTTCTTTTTCAGTGTGGATTACAGGAGTTCTCCAACCTTTGTGCCCCAGTCTCAATAAATTATTTAAGACGACGATAAATGCAAACACTTCTGCTTCGTTTTTTTTTGTATCTTTATTAAAAATAATGAAAAAAAATACACATACAAAGAAGAAAGAGTTTGGTTTTTCAGTGTGGACTTTTTCAGTGTGGATTACAGGAGTTCTCCTCTCTAAAGACTATGATAAATGTAATGGAAAAAAAAGCAAACAAAAGAAGTGACCAAAGAAAGGCAGACACAAACAGTTAGATTTCGTTTTAGTGAGGTGTCCATCTTTTAAAGGCATCCGTTTAGAAAGAGTTTGACTCTAGAACATAACATGCAAATTCTTCATGTTGTTCTCCATACACTGATGGCACTATTAAGAAGATTTTGTCATACAAGTCCAAACATTTTATCTGGTGCTGCTTTTAAAAAGCCATTTTAACTGATTAGGTGTTATGAGGAGAATTTGGATGCTGATGAGACTGTGGGTATTTCTGACCAGATTCAAGTGGTAACAAATGCTAAAGCAACAATTTAATTATTACTGTGCTTTTCAAAAACATGCAAACTCTAAAGTTCAAAAGCCACCTTACGTTTTTGGCTGCCATCAATCATAATTATGATCACAAGCAACGAACCTTGAAACGCAGAAACACAAAACGGATCAAAATCCACCAATCACAAACCATGACCTTTTGAACCCACTGAAGTAAACTTCTGTTTCCTAAGAGGTCTGCTAAGATGATAGACAACAGTGAAAAACGCAAACATCAGTTGGCTTTTGAACTTTGGAATTCATGTGTTTATGAAAAGCGCAGTAACAGTGATTGCATTCTGACGAATAGTTTTTTTCAACCTCCTTATCCATGGCGAGTCCACATAAATGAAACATTTATATAGGTCATTAGGGGGAATAAACCCATATTCTCTATTTGGCCTCTGCCAAAAAAATTCCTTAGATTTTTTTAATAGTCCATAACAATCTTACAAGCACAAGTGCATTGTAGGTTGGTTTCTCTACAGTACCGTTTTACCAAACTAGCTTTCAGCCGCGAGTTTCCCGCTCTCCTACCACCTCAAGCTGAGTCTCTTATTGACATATCTTATTATAAAATACCCTGGGAATTGTTTGCAGATAGTCATTATAAAACAAATTCTTCTCATCAGCACCATGGGAAATATATAGAAAACAGTGTGGAGAAATTAAGCCTGCATCCATCACAGATGTAATCTAACACAGGTTAGGATGGTCAGCAAAGTAGTGCATCCTTGTTCTGGACCCCAATAGACTCACTGACTTTCTGATAGTGTGTTTTGAATTTCCTCCAGACCTGATGGGCAAATTGAGAATGGCTTTTTTAACAGGCCAATCATAGTTATTAGAGGAGACTGGTTATGAAGAGTGGCAAACATCAGTTATAAAAACAACAGTGCTTGCTGCAGTTTATGTTGGAGGCTCCCTGAAGGTGCACAATCCTTTGTTTTCTTTTGGCAAATTGTGATGGAATAAATTAATGCAACATTTTTATTGGTCAATACGATCAAAATGATAGGAATGCTCTTCAACATTGTGCACTTTCAGGTCCACAAAAACATACCAACAAGTGAATTCGAATCTGACAGGTTTCATAACCAATCCACTCTATTAACTATGGGCCAATCAAGGGGTTTAATTCAAAATTTCCGATGAGCATCCCCACCCCTTTCATATGTGGAGTCCCCCCCCCCCTCCCCCCTAGGGTGCATACTCAAATCTTGGTACACAGGTTGAGGTCCAGAACAATGCTTTTGGCTCTGTTTCACAAAAGGATTTAGCCAGAAGTTTAGTTTCCTCTGTACGTGGCACCAGCTAGAAGCATGTCAATGCTAGAGGATAAATGTTAGCTCAAAGACAGTTCTCACCGACTTGATAAACACCGTATATATCTTAGCAGAACCACGGTCGCTCCAATCAAGGCCAACCAAAGTGTGTTTTCGGACGTACATGAATTTCAAGTGTTATTTTTTTCAGTTCCAAAATATTCGAACAGTATTCAGGCAAAGCGCTTAGATGAATATGTTTTAAAGCAACATGGATCATTATTTTCCTTTCTGCGACACGATCCGCTTGTTCATATATGCCGGCCTTGTTGCATGAGAAACCATACAACACCCACCAATAAAACTCCACGAAGTCCAAACAACACCAGCGCAAGTATTAATGACACAGACATGATTGGTTCAACGACATATTGGCCAAGATTCCAGCGAGGAAATCCCGCTGTTAGTAATCGATTGTTTAGTTGAGTAAATAAGCCCCCTTCTTGTGAATTTGGATTTTGCTGATCATGTGTTGCATACGTCCATTGCTGTTGTTGTGATTGCCCTTGTTGTCTTTCTTGCCTCCTTCCCCGATTTCTATATTCCTGGGCCCGAGGGTCACTATCAGCTACGATTTCTCCATTTATTATTGTAACCATCACCGCGTTTTTGGTCTTTTTGAGAAATCGTCAATGGCAAAAATCTAAAATGGCGACGAAACAGAGGAAGACTGGAACGAAGGATAGAAGGTTTGATGTCATGTATTGTGAAACGAAATGTCTACGCGTTGGACACCACAGGAATCCCAAACTTACGCAACCTGCCGCACTGCTAATACGGTGGACAAAAAGGAGCACATTTTTCGAACGATCGATATTGCAACTTATTGATCCGTTGGTTTTCTACAGTTAAGAGACATAGAAAGTCCCCCAAAATCTTCATTTTTCAAAAAATATTAAATTATAAATTCTAACTAGTTAAAATCTGGCTGAATGTTTCAAAAGGCTGCTGCACACATTTTCTGATAATAGTTCAGACATTATCATATCTCAAAGAAGCCCTCCCAAAAATAGCAGTGTAATCATTGCTTTCTTTTTTCATTGTTCTCTCTCTCCTTTCCTGGCGTGATTTTTATACTCGTTGACCCTAAAAAAATCCTATTTTGACTCTTATATCATCCTGATAGTCTGGTCAACTGCAGGTTATCATTTCCAGGAGGCATGTGGTTTGAATATCCAATGACAAAAAGTTACACTTCTTCTCAACACCCTAACTCTAATCTTAAATTCAAAAAAGGCCGTCAAACAAAAATTTTGAAACCCCAAAAGACACCTTTTGACTAACAATTACTTGAAAATGTCAACTCCAGCCTTGCCTTCATCTATTTTTGTTAAATGGGCTATTCCTCTTCCATCACCTCAACTACAATGTTTCAGTACAAAAACATTTGTCACAGTCAAACATTATGTCCTTAATATTTTAATTTTGTTTATTTTCATGTAAAAATACTAACACAAGCCTTCAGGAAACTATGTTTTTAAACATAATTAAACAATATATCTTAATCAAATAAAATCAGTCATAAAATAACAGATTTAATAAGGTATTAATATAATAAAAAAATCTTTTCAGTATATTATATTTTAGTAATGAGAATTAATAATATACAGCTACCTAAAATGTGACTTTTTCTTAAATTTGCTTTAAAAATTATTAAAAGTTATTAACAATTTTCTAAACGACAACAGTGCCTTGTGATCAGTATGAAGTTAATAAGGAGGACATTACATGGCTGCGTGGGGATACAAATTTTATCTTCGAGTGCTGAAAGTATCTCTCACGAGTGAGCGAAGCAAACGAGTGACAGAGACTTTCAGCATGAGAAGATAAAATTCGTATCCCCAAGCGGCCATGTAATGTTCTGTTTATTTTATAGGTACTGATGAAATTCCTACATAAAACACAACTTTTTTTAAAATACATTTTTGAAACAGCAAAACACGGTAGTGCAATTAAAGTTGTCACCTATCGTAAAATACCTGTCACAAAAATGTCATGAAACTCGGATATAAAGTTATAAAAGAACCAGCCGCGTGCCTGAGCAGGAAGCTCTCTTCTACTTGGCTAATCATGTAAGTAACCATGGCGACAACAATATCCTCACACGTGAAAGATAATTAAAAAAAAGAAAAATAGTATCTTCACTGCGCGCGATGAAGATTTTTTAGTAAAAGGAAAAATCCTGGTATTTCATCAGTATCTATATAATAAAATGATTTACATACTACTAATCACTGGTAGAGATAATCAGATCATTATAATTTCTCATTTACAGCCCTCTTAGCAACAATATTATGTTACTATGACAACTGCCTTTGTTGCTTCATATATACTTACTAAGACATCCTTTCTAAAGGTCTCGACCAAATTAAGAATTAATACTTAGATCAACCACATTCACAGCAAAATCCAGTGGTAAATCCAGACCTTTATGTAAGTGAAGGGCCTGTTAAGTCGGATCCTAAGAAAGGGGTCTCACTAACGAAAATAATTTTTCTAAGCCCTGCAGGACTTAGTTTGCCTTAAAAGTAAGGTAGGAGCCACACAGATCCACCACTGTCGTCAGACAATCAAAACAGCAATATAGCAAGCTGACAAAGAGGGCAAACCTGCAACTATTGCCCTTGATTTAGTACTTTTGAGTCAACCAGGAACTTAAAACCACCAAAACTAAACCTGACAATTATAATAATACTTCGAAAATTTTAGCAGCAAAACAAAAACATTACCATAACATGATTACCCTGGCTCTAAAGGTTCTCTGTCTCCTTCCTTCATACTTAACAAGCTCAAAGCCACTTTGTAGCTAACAACCTTCTGGGACCAGCGCATAGCATGATGGCTAGTTTGAACTTTGTTTTTTTAAAGACTGTTTGTCATGTTAGAGATGTGACCATCTTATAGACAGTTTTAAAAAACTCACAAAAAGCAAATAAAAATGACTAGAACAAGCCAACTTTGTTAAAGCAATGTCCACCTCAGAACGGAACCTCAGGCACCCATCCGATTGGCCATGGGGTGTGGTGTTTACTTTGTGAAAACTGAGGCTGTTCCACAAAAGAACTAAAAAGTTAACACTAGCCTTGTTTTGGCAATTACTGAATATTATTTGTGCCTGACAACACTCATTTTTAAAATAATAAATATTTTGTGTGAAAATTTGGATTGTCACTGAACCAAATGACACTTACAGTTCCACATCAGTCTTCCCTGTGTTGGAAAAACTGGTACAAGCTATGTCAAATGAATGCCAGTTGTTACAATCAGTAAAAATCCACTATAAATCGATCTTCCTAAAAATTTTGTGGTCAGACATTCCAACACACCTTACGTAACTATAGGGAGCCTCACAGTTTTAGTAACTGCCTTGTACTTGTACTCTCCTAAGAAGAGTAAACTTGTGAGTTCTGGTCAAAGGAAAAATGAAACTAAGGAATAACATCACTGACAATAAGTGGCTTTTTGGAAATAGGTGGTAAGGCCAGTCGTAAAGATGCTGTTAAAAAAACATCTTACAGTGTTAAGTCATCATCCGCTCGTCAATGAAATATAGGCAGACTAACTTGATAATCCCCTTTGGACCAGTTCTATTATCATAAATACTATCCATACTATATGGCTCTGAAATGAAAACTGGATTTCAGAGAATAATGGAAAATCTCAAATGAAAAGGAGCTCGCCTTACCAAGACCACTCCAAGGGTGATTTTGTGCCTACTTGACTTATTTTGGCAACTTTCAAGTCTCCCAATTTTCATTCCTTTAATGTTGGAATGTCTGTAATGGTCAAACACAAAGCTCTTTCATATGAGTATTAATCCACTGCTTACTATTTTAAAAATCTAAATCCTCTGCCCAGCACAGTCTCATAAATAAAAACTTGCAGGTTTTTAGTTGTATTTCAGAGCTCATCATTTCGTATAAATCTGTTTCCTTCAGAGTGCTTGCCAAAGTAGATGTATCTGCAGCGTCCAAAGGTACCTTTGTGGTCTCCAGGAGGTATGGTGTCACTCGGTAGAGGGCTGTAGGGTGATTTTTCTTCTGTGCTCTCAAGCATTTGAGAAGTCTGTTAATCCAAAAACAAAACACCATAATCTCATCTGTATTGCAATGATAAAGGTTGCCTGGTGCCTGGTTTCACTGTTAATAACTTCAGGATTTGTAAAGGATTTAATTTATGATATCTATAAATTATGTCTAATTTTATTTTTTATGAATTGTTTATATTTCCACTTAATGACTTTTGACCTTAATTTACTATTCGCCAACTAGAGTTTGACAGTTGAAATATACACTGTACTGTTTATTTAATATGCTGTACAAGATCATTCTTACGCTGCACTGTGTGATTCTTCCGTAAAAAAAACAGTTCTTTACCGACAGAACTGCTTGTCATTCTTTACAATGTGGGTTGATCTACTTTTCAGCCTTCGTCTATGTTACAGGTCAAATTTAATGTCAGGTTAATTATGTCTTAGCTTAGATTAATTCTCAATTTCCCTTGTCCTCAAACCCTAGTTAGAAGACAAAAAATTTCAGAATCATTCTAGGTTAAAAAACTTTTAACCTGTAATTAAATATGAGTCTGTGAAACATCTATGAATCAAAAATTAAAATAATTGAGCATCTTCACTGACCATCTCACTGGCTGAAGGAGCAACAATCTTCATGTAAGATCCTACTCTTTGAGCTTCCTCCCTCTCCTTACTTCTAACAGGCCTTGAGTCAAGAAACGTTAAGTTCGGAAGGCGGTAAAGGACATAATATCTGTCAGTAAACAAAAAATCAATAAGCAACATGAATTTAAATTCTGTTCGGCAACAATGTTTATATCACAAAGAGGAGTGTGGTCTGGGTGCTAGGATCTGATTGAAAAAAAACTTGACAGCTGGAGCACTAAGTTCAGGAATTTTGTCAGCTGGCATGAACAGAAGGAACTTCTAAGGGGAATGAAGAATAAACTTTCAAGATAAAAAACATGTACACAGTCTAATATTCTGCTACGTTTGGAGGGTAAGGAAGACTATGTTAACATTATAAAATTTTCTGAAAAGGTTTGCTATACAAAAAAATGTGATAATCACTGCAAACTGTGACATCAATGAACCCCACAAAATGTGGCAAGAAACTACTGGTACTAGATAAGGAAGAATTTTCAAGGAATCATTAGGGCCTTGGAACAAAATTCTAACATTTCAAGAGTTATCCAAGAATTCCAGGAGAATTACAAGCTTTTCTGCAATGCATACCAAATCAGAAAGATACCTGTATCGCTGATAGTCCTCCTCATCTCTGTGTAGTGACGACAACTCATTTGGACAGGCCTGGTTACTTAACAGACTGAGGTATTTAAGAGAAGGCAAGTTGTGAGCGATCTTATCCAATAGAACCTCTAGATTGGCTATGTAGTGATATTAAGGAAAATATTATCCATCCGTCTTACTTCGCAAGGCCTTCCGAGAGACATTGAAATGTGTTAAAATAATCGACAAAACATAAACTTTCAGGAAAAAGCTAAATATGAATCCTACAATAAAGCAATGCCTTTAATCAGTTGAAGTAAAGTCATAATATGGGCAGTGCCACCAAGATCATTTTAGCTCTACTTCTAAAACAATCACGTAGGTGTTTTTATCCACGAAATTCCCTCTGAGTGCCTTGGTTTTGCTGTAAGTTACTGCAGTGTAAACACAAGAAAATTACTGATAAAAAGTGAATTAGGCTGAGGAAGGGTAGGTAAGAAGTTGACTCAAACTTGAAAAAATCAGGCAGAAGAGTTCAAGTTTGGGAGAGTTGTGTGGGAACAATCAATCCAAAACTACTGATTTTGGTTTGCTATCACCTTGGACACAGCATTATTCAAAGGTCATTTTATAAACCTTCATATTCTAGCTTACGCAAAAACTTGGAAGAACTCTAATGGTACAAATTGCCCCTTTAAGACTAAAAATTCAAAAGGATATTCTATTCTTGTTTAATGTGAGAGTGTGAAGTTTGGTCAACTGAGGAATTTCCACATCATCCCCCAGTTGATTGTTGTCAAGAATAAGTTCTTCCAGAATTTCAAAACCCTGGAGGCCTTTAAGAGATCTGAAAACGAAACAAAAACATCACAACTAATTAATCAATACAAATCATCTCACAACTATTTAAAGAAAAGAATAAAAGAACTGGACAGAAGTAGTATTATTATCACAAGTATGCTATCACAGGCATACACTGTACACAAATGCACCAATCATAAACTATACTACACTTGAGATTTCAACATAGTTCAGATTACCTTTTTTAAACAAATTTACATAAAATCATTTACATACTTCTAGCTAAATAATTTAAGAGCATCAGTCTTTGGTATTTTATAAGCAGGTGATCTTGGCTTATCTTCCCCCCCTTCTCCTAATCTAAGGAATATGTTTAAATGTAGGCCTTAACTTTGCAAGAGACTTAATTATAAGAGAGTTCTTAATTGATAAGGAAAATTACACTCATCCAATTATATCAGGGCTCAAAATAACGGCCGGTCAACAGACAATGTCCGGACTCCATGTAAAAGTAAGTTTCTATAACCACCTCAGCTGATTATAGCTCAAGTCTAATATCTTGACCACTTTTCCATATTTACTTCCAATAATTCCTGGTATACTCTCAGCTTCTTGACCAACAAAAGATAACTGAAAATGAACAAAAAGATCAATGCTGTGCACAAATACCACCCTATGACTTACAAATTTGCATATATCACGTGTTATAAAACACAACAAAATGGCAGACAAGGCAGCAATATTGTGGTTAAACCCATTACCAATAAATGGGTGTTCAGAAGGTACCTGAAAAAACTGTGGGAGCAAAAGCGAGTGTGGAATGTAACTATGACAACCCTGTGAGTGGCAACCAACACACACTGTAACACTGAAGAGTTTTCAGATAATTACCAAAACATATCCTGGGAGAGGGGAGAGCTGAGAGCAAAAAGGCTTCAACAAATGCATGTGAAAGGCAAAATGAGTGAAATTATTTTACCCAAAGGCCATAAAAAGCCCTAAGACCACCCCACATATGATAAGTGAAGGATCAGCATCGTCTTGTGTTTACCTCCTGTTAGTTACATTCAGCCCCATAATATAACTTATAAAGAGGTTGTCAAGAAACTGTATTTTAAAAATAACTATCACATTGTGCTCAACTTTTAAAAGAAAAAATGTACATGCAACAAATCCATGTTTTCTGATTGGCTAAAAAGTTTGTTGGCTAGCTATGGTAACATATGGATTAAATATGTTGGGAAAATTCCAGGTAATGGCAGATTTACCATCCCAGATTTGCTGTCTATTAAAAACACAGTCATAGTCAATTACAGGGACAAAAGAGGAAAATCTAGAGAAGAATTTCTATTTTCTAAATGTGTCTCAGATTTCTGCCATGATGGATTGACAACTCAGATTTTTATTTCTGGGAAGTGGGTGATTGGTCAATGACAATTTTAACTTGGTACCAACCCTCTACTCCATGCCTTGGTTTCAATCAACACCTTTATAAATCAAAATAGTACCCATGACAGGCTCTACAGTTTTTCCCACATATTTACCAAAGTTTTGATGATAATGTTTGATGCATGGGAATTATTGCAATATTGCAATATTATATATCAATTTCTAATGTGTCATGATCAGTTGCGAGTATTTGCACTTCCTTTTGTTCTTTCGCTAACTTATACAATGAAAGCAATCACCTTGTGTTGCAAATGTTATTTTCATGAGAACTGATCTTTAACAATTATTATTAAACATTAGTTCTCAAGAAAATAACATTTGCAACACAAGGTGATTGCTTTTGGTTCATTTCCTAAAATTATGGCCATATCTCTTTCAATTTATTCTGTTCATGAACAGAAGTATTATTTAGTTTTAACGATAGATTATACAATCTTAACGTAACTTGTACATTTAAAGGGTGTATTCATGCCGTAAAAATATTACATTTCACAAATATTGCCATTGGAATTTTAGCTTAAGACCTCAGCAAGCTAAGAACAAGTGATCAATCAAAGAATTATGTGTCCAAATAGCGATATCATACTTGAAAAAGTCTCCACAAAGAAATACCAAAAAAAGTTTTTTAAAAAATTGCCCTTTTTATAGAAAATCAAACGCAAATATTTCAGCTAACAAAATCATATGACACGTTCACGCTCTTTCACGCCGTCGCGAAACATACCAGCATGTGTATGTGCATAAAATTCAAGTAAAATCCCATCAAATATTACAGTGTCATAGTTCATTTGAAAGCTTTACAAGCATCACAGTACATTGGTCTATTACCTGGGAGTCCTTCAGAACTACAGACACTTCAGTGGAGTCCATCGTGGCTGAAACTTTATCAGTACAACCTAACTACACGAACAACTCACCACAGACCGCCATGGCCTCAGGTTTTGGACTGCAACAGTAATTTGTTATCAGGCTCTCGCTTTGCTCTACAGGGACGGGTAGGAGGGAGCCCTGGGAAAGAGGCTGCACAAACGGGAAATCGTTGAAGTCGGGTGTGGGGTTAGGGTGGGGTGGGCAGAGGCAAGCATGGACGTCATGGGAGATGTCATGAGACCATCTTCTCATATCAAGAAAAGCTCAGGGTTCATAATTGAACTGAGTGGTGCAATTTCTGGTCTGAAATCCATACGCCTAACACGTGACTTAGTTGCTAAAAAATATATATCTACGTGTCGCAACTGTTCATCAGTAGGATGCCTAAAATGCGTGCAATTCCACAATTGGTTTCGGCTCCATTAAATCCTATACCAATTGCAGAACATTTTAGGAGGAGCTACCCACCATGTGAGCACAGTCACGGACAATGTATAAGTGAGGAAAATAACGCAAAGTAAAATTGAGACGTTAATAAACGAACTAAATGTACACGTCAATTAAATAAATAAACAAATAATGCGCGCGCTCAAAATAAAATTGTACGCGCACACGTACCGAGATACATCTGAAATACAACACTATACAATAAATAAGTAATGTAAGGATACGATGGTGCAATTCAAGCCTGGATTGCTAATCTAATCTCCCGCAGGGCTGCACCATACTTCTCGACGATAAGACCATGGCGACTGAAGAATTTATTAAATGATTTCTGAAGTAAGTGTAATAAGTGTAATTAACTTTCAGCAGGAGCTGATAGGCTCCTGCTTTCAGACCATACTTACACGACAAGAAGTTTCAGTTACCACTTTTTTAAATATTTAGATGTAGAAAAGTTGTGTAATAAATTGTGCAAACCAAAACAACTTCCCGCTAAGGACTTTGTACTATTTACCTCGCTAGTATCGAGTACAAAGCCCTAATCCTCAACATTTTCGTCCCATGTGTGGGAATGCAAGACAATCTTGGATTTTGGATTCCTAACCGTGGATTCCAGATTCCAGGTATTAGATTCCTTTGTCTGTGAAATCTGGATTCTGGATTCCAATCGTTAGTGGCATTCCGGATTCCTTGTGCTGTATTCCAGGTTCCAAAGTCCAGGATTCAGGATTCTACAAGCAAAAATTTCCAGGATTCCGAAATTCCTCACATGGGTACGACGTGGCCATGTACACTGTTGTGAAAGAAGGTCAGACCTTTACAATACAAAAATGCGATTTTAATATAGAAATGTTTTATTTTATAGTTAACAGGAACAGAAACGCTTGCTTTAAAAAATAATAGCCCGCCATAAAGTGGGCATTTTGTCCGCTATAAATATAAAAAACACAATTATATCACAGGGTTATATTACAGGATTATACATGCGGTAACTCGTCAGAGGCAAACACTTGAGTTTTATAAATACCAACAATATAATTGGGAATTAGACAAATGTTAGAGAATCTTTATTGTTCGGCTTTCACTGACACACCGTTCACCGCCAGAAATAATTAGTGATACTTTTACTGACTTCCCAGTAAATTTGTTGTATTACACTTCGTAGAAAAATAAAATGAATAAATAAATAAATAAAAAGTGACCTTGACTTCCCTAGTTCATGACAGTAAGACCGAGTAAAACTACAAATTCTAGCACTTTGTTATGGTCTACGTTTCAATATTGCTGAACTAAACAACATGTATTGATTGAAATTTTATTTTCCCTAAATTTTGCTTATGGTAATGGCTGATAACGGCGGAAAAAAGGAAAATAGAATTTAAACCAGGGATTATAAGATTAAACCTCAACATACGCAGAATAATACTCCAATAATAATTTTGACAGCAAATGTCCTATATTTACGTTACAATTTTTCTTTTCGTCTAAAAAGTTAAGGGTCACCAGTTTGATAGCGGTCGTTTCCAACACAACAATTGGTAGATTTAAGAAAGACAACAACTATTACGGACGGTGTGTATAACGGAATTTAAAAGACTGAAAATTGAACCCGGAAGAAGTGTTCATTGCCTCGCGCGCCCTCCCATGTTCTCATTCGGGTTGCGTTCTCTTTTAAATCTGCTTTCCACGCGTCTCGCAATTGATGGATTTCCAATCCTATGTGCTCATAACTGCAAATAACTGAATATATTTCCTTTTCTACAAAAAGGTAAAATTTTGTAAAATTTAGGAACTCAATCTTATCACAAATAGTTACATCAATGACCAAGTACTAGCTATTTACAAACACCATTTTTTTTTCAATAAAATACCCTTATAAATAATCCTCATTCGTTATGAGCAACAATATAAACAGCACATCGAAAGCGAAACTTAGAAACATCGCGTGACGAACTACAACCTTTCCAGCTTCCACTTTACGTGACCTCAGTCGTTTGGAAAGTTTCGTGCTACACTTTGCAGTACCACACATAATAGCAGCGTCACACTACACGTTGACACGACTGGACTAAAGACACTGTAAAGAAACGTAGGGATAAGTATGCTTTATGAAACATTCCGCCATGGTTTACTTTAGCGGGTAAGTTATTCTTGAGGAGCAGCAGCAGGTTCTTGTTCTTGTGCAGGTGGTGGATCATCAGACGGTTGTTGCTGTATTTGTTGTTGTTCAACTGCTTCGCTCTCTTCCTTATTTTGCTCAGGTGCTGCCTCTGCAGTTGAAAGAAAGATATATTAAACTTACACCTTAAAGAACTAAGGTCAATATAACAGTGGCAGAGTAAGCGCTAAGGACTCAGAAACATGGTCGTGGATCAAAATAAACGCTTTTCGATATTTTCACACAAAGGCTTGATTATTCGTCATAACACGAAAAATCCAGACCTACGACATGAACGCCCCTCTATCACCCTCCTTAGCGCCCCAATCACACTCCTGTCCGGCAGCCTCATCATTCTATTCGTGCATTTGCTAAACAGCCAGCAACAAGACCTTTTCTAAACACGCTTGTTAGGTCTCACAGCTGGGAGGGAGTAACGTAAACGGTCGATAATGGATGGTCTTAACTTGCCAGTGACAGCCAATTGAAATAAAATTTGATATTGATAATCAGGGCGGAAACTATTGGAAAGTGTCCGTAAAAATAGCCAGAAAGGCTCTTTTTCCGTCCGACCATTTTAATGTTTATGTGTGGACCTTTCAAAAATCTTACCAGGCTTGTTATGGGTACTGGAAAGGATCGAATAGAAAAAGTCAACAAATTCACAAATAAGTAGGTTAAGCAGTCCTATTCAGGGATAAGTTCACCCGAAGTTTATGCTCAATTCTGCTTTTACAGTTTAAAATTCACAAGCATTCACCATTTTCTTGTTCCTGCTGCTCCTCCTGCTGTTCCTCTTGCTGTTGTAATGGTGGTTGCTGTTCCTGTTGTTGTTGTTGTTCCTCTGCTGTCTGGTCTCCAGTTGGGTCATTTTCCGGTTCCTGAGCTACTGTCGTCGCTCCTGGTTCTCCTGTGCTCTTAGGAACACCATCTTCAGGTTTCTGTTCACTGACCGCTTCCTCAGCTGACTTTTCGTCATTCTTCTCTGCATCACCCACCGTCTCCTCTCCTTCTGCTGCTGTCGTTCCTTCCCCCTCCGTTTCCTTCGCTTCACCAGCAGCTGTTGGCTCGGCTTCGCTGTCCTTCTTTTCATCACCTTCTGCCTCCCCGACAGCAGGTGTAGTTTCTCCTTGGCTGACTTTTTCTGCTTCTTCTGTTTTGCTGTCTAGATCTGTTGAGCGGTTTAGACACAAAGCATGAGACAAGAAAGAGTGAAAGAGTAGCGTACTTTTTAGCAGATATTTGTTATGCGCTTGAATGTTGGACGGGGGTGAGGTTGGAGTCTTTGGCCATTTTGAGACCTTTCAAATAACCTGGAATCCGTAACCCGCGATTAGACGCTCAAGTTTTTCTTTCTTTCTTTAAGAAGAGAGGAAAGAAAGACATAATAGAGATGTAAGGAGAGAGGGCATTATCGCAAGGTACCGGTATAGGCAGACGCTAAGGTTGGATTTCAGACCACAAGGTTCGTTGCTAAGCTATGCCACAATAAACTTTGCTATACGCAGTTAAAACCATAATAACCCAGAGGAATATTGTGATTCGCTACTTTTCCATTCAGAGCCTGAATAAAAGCTAAGGATACTCTTAGATTCTAGTTCATACTGCACGAAAAGTGTTTTGCTCCGCTCGCGTTGTCACTATATTACAAACATAAAAAGGTCCTTTGAAACAGCACCTATCAGTGGAGGTGGGGGACCCCAGGTAGGTGAGGTAACTCGACTGTCCATATGATCTCTCATTTTAATTTGATCACGTTTACGATAGATGGGGTGACCTTATGAGAGGATATATCCTCAGGCGGGAATATACCCCATCTAAGCGGGTTACCTCACCTACCTAGGGCCATCTACCTCCATGTACACGCTGAGAACTTAACAATCCCCAAAAATTCCAGCACAGCAACTGTTCCAGTCTAAGCCGAGAAAAGTTAGTCGGTGTTCGTGTCATTATTGAAAAGGTGACGTAAAAGTCACACAAACAAGTGCAGAATTACGTGAATTCCATGCAAAGGGAATTTTGTAAAGAGTATGCAAGCACCGCTTCATTGTTTGAGGCTTTCTCAAAGCTTTTCAAACCTCCGTTTTCCCAGGTTTACGCCAAGAGGAAAACCTATTACGTATTCTACCTGATAATTCTTTTTAGGGGCTGCATCAGGCAAATAGGATAGAGTTGCCATCAACAGGGATAAAATAACCGGCGATCATGCGATTTTTTTTTTGTTTTGCCTGATCGCAGGTTAGGGATAAAACGTAAAGTCATGCAGGTACTATTTATCAAAGATTTTCTTCCCAGGGCAGCTTAACAATATCATTTTAACCTACTTACTTCAACTTGTGCACTTAATTTCCGTGCATTTCATTACAAAAACGGTGAAAAACTAAAATATCCAAAATACCCCCCTTTTCTAATCATATCTTACATATAACTTCCTGTCTACCTTAACTTCCTCTTAACTTTATACGGGCACTTGATTTCACATATGAGGTCTTTCTGGAGTCAAGAAAATTAAAGAATCATGTCACAGATGTGACAATAGTGTAAAAGGGTTACATTTTTAGACGGGATGAGAGCAGGTAAATGGCAAGACACTAGACTAAGAGTCTGAGAAAAATGAAGCAGTTGAAGAATCAACTGTTTTATTGACATATCTAACAACAAAACATTCGACCAACACTGTGGTACATGTAATATACTTTTTTAATTGCAATATCCCGTCTTCTGCAAAGCTAAATAACAATATTATTTGATTTTTAATGAACCTTTTGAAGCAATTACATTAATAAAGATCTGAACTTATATCTCACAACAAATAAATTATATGAATCCATAAATTTAAACTATTATTCTTAATATTCAATAATGACATTTTTAATATAACTTTATGTTTACTTCATAAACTGTGTGTGAGCTTTAACAAACTTAAACATGTAATTTTTGAAATATGCATACAGTTTCTGTAAATGTTGCTATTAATAAATATCTTTGGATATTCTTGCCACATAAACTTGCCAGTAGGCATTTATATTAACTCTAAAGTCCTTCAAATTAACTTCGTTTAACATAAAAAAAGAGTTGCTCGTATCAAAATAAATGTCATTGTTCAATAACGAGTGACATCTTGGTGGTGTTTTAACATGAAGCATGCATCTGGCTAGACAGGGTTCAACTGTCCTTTTGCAACTGTGTTAACAAAATATGAAGAAAAAAGACATCTTAGTAACTAGAAAACACCCAGGTTCAACTGAGCCAACAAAGGGGCCCTACCTCACTACATGTACATCATCATTACAAACATTATATTTTACACAACTTATTAGAACAAGGGAAATAGGGCAAGTGGGTACTTAATACTCTAATGCCTTAATTGTTTTCATAATATATGACCAAAATCAGAACAATCTTATAGAAACCACAGAGGTGGATCAACAAAATTTTAATAAGGGGGTCCAACTAATGAACCTAATACTTTGTTTCCATCATTCCAAGCTATTACCCATTCATTTCTACTATGCAAACTCTTGCTGCAATGATATGCAACATTCTACTCAGATAGTAGCATGAATTGTTTTGAAATATTCATGTGTTATGTAATCAAATAATTTTGTTCAAAGGTCAGACAAAGGTTCCATGGTTAGCAACATACTCATCACACCATTCTGTACATGGTACTAAAGTAATTGAACAGAATTTGTTGCAAAAAGTCCATGACTTATCTTAATTCTTTATTCAATTAACCAGTGATCAAGGACAAAAAAACAAATAAATTGGATGTTGGTTATTGTTTCAGACATAACACTTTTAAGCAGTTAAAAGCATGCAGTGTTTGTCTCTTTGGTGTTACCAAAGCGACAAACCAGCAGAAAAGAAAAGTTCAATTTTAAGTCCAGAGGAAAACAAAAAATGCAATTAAAGATACACTGAAAACAATTAAATTGACATTCAACACTTTAAAAATCACTTTAGTTTAACAACCAACTCTCCTAGAATTTTCTGAGAATTAATTATTTCATTATTAATGTAGTTTCTAGTATAATTTCCATTACTGAATTAGTAATAAATATTAATAATAATTAATTGCAAGATTTTAAATTTATATGTGTTTATTCCTTTATGGTTATAGCCTTCTCAGACCAAGAGGAGGAAACAAATTATTATTAATGAACACTTTTATACATGTCAAATAAAATAATGTCTTACAGTTCAGTGAAGAGAGGTACTTTCAATCTGACAAAAAAACAACAAAACAAAACACTTCAAGTTAACAGTAAATGCAGTCAAATGTTTGAGAAGACTTTTAAAAACTGCCTTAAAACATTTACATGCTCAATATAAAAAATTTAATTATTTATCTCACTGTGTTGGCTTCAATTTTATAAACTGAGAGTTGTACAAGCATTTTACTTTAATGTAACTATATAATTTATTGTGTAGTCTTGGTAAGTCATTTCTTGTCTTGCTAAATTCTAAATTGCAAGGATTTTGCAAATACCATCCAACTTATGTAGTGAACATTAGGTCACGCTCCCCTCTCACGCTCTCTGTGAGTCCTCAAACTCTTTTTCACTCCTCCAAGTACTTGCACCATGTTTGGGAAACCAAATGACATACAAACTCTTTCAATACACACTAATATTAGGTTTAGATTGGCTTTTGATTTGCTGTAAGCTCAAAACTTCTCCCTGGCTGCTACTCATTTTGTCACTCTCAAATTCCTATTCTATACTGTCAATTACTTGCGGGGCTGTCATGAGATGTTAAAAAAGTTCATGAATGATTATAATAAGTATTTTATAATTATATAATAAGTAATGGCAACAGGACTGAGTGGAGTCCAATTCGGTCTGTAATCATACGAGTGATTAACAAAATCGGACGACCACATAGCGGGAGTCCAATTTGTTTAATCACGAGTATGATTACAGACCGAATTGGATGACACGAAGTTCTGTTACCAATTAATCATAACTTTAACAAAATTTGTGACATAATAGGTTATTTTTTAAATCAAAACACAAGAAATTCGAAATTTTGTTTTGCTAGCAGTGAAAAAAAAAAGCCATTTAAGCACGCGCATGATGGCGCATACTGTCCAATTACTGAGGCATGATGCGTACTGTCCTATTAAACTGTCCAATTAAGACTGAAATCAGGGCAGTTGATAGCCAATCAGATTTGACAATTTTGTTATAGTTATGATTACAATAATAATAGTAAAAAATAATAATAATAATCTCTAGAGATGAAGCTCCTTGCTCATTACATTACATGGTTTTCGAGGAGATTGTCACTACTACTAAAAATGCCTTACCTTCATCACCCTCAGCAACAGGTGCAAGAGTGCCAGTAACTTCAGGAGGTATTGGTCTTGGTGTCTGATCAATAACAACCTCCTCACTTGCTGCCTTTTCATAAGCCTCCTGTCGTGCAATGTTTTCTGCCTCCTCTTTCCTCAGTTGTTCTCTAATACGTTCTTCTTCTGCTTTTTCTCTCTCTTTTTCAAGGGCTTCCTGCTCTTCAACTTTCTACAAAAAAGCAGAGTCAGAAAATTAAAGATTGGAAACAATTTATTAAATTTTCTTAAGTGCTCTTCAAATAATAACCAGATGTGTTCTCAGGATAAACCTTTCGAATCTACTAGGGTATTAAGCTTCTAACAAGGGTAGGGTTCAATACTGGTTTATTTAACCTGAGAACAGATGTTTTGCATTGGTAGCTTTAAAACGACAACATGCAGAAAGCCACATAAATTTGAGCTTTCAATTCTCATACTTAACCAATAAAAGCTTTAAACGGCACAATCACGTTTTTCGGTATAATAACACTAAACTAGGAGTGGAATAAGCAGCTAAATTAACCAGGGAAGAAAACAGCCAAGGTGCAAGCAAGTCTGAGATAAAGATAGGGTTTGCTTATACTACCTTCTTCGCAACGTCTTGATTCTCAACGTACTTTCTTAGCCAGTGAGCAAGATATTCGATCGGATCAACGGGTCTTTTCTCCGCTATTTCTGCTAACCCCAAGGCTAATGCATTTCCTACGTGTTTCTTGAGATATTCGGAGTCCATTTGCTGAGGTTTTCACAGGTACCAAAGTACTTAGGGTGTCAAACGACTCGTCCTATCCTCGTCCTCAAGTCTCAAGTTTCTCAAAGTTTCTATGGTTACGTAGTGATCCGCTGTACCAAACGCACGCATATACCGTTTGGAGCGTCTTACATGTCATGTACGTAACATTGAAGTGCTCCATCCGACTCTGGTGGATCAATACCCCGCGGGGGGGTACTGCCATATATGGGCTATATAGGTATGTGCCGCTGTGAAGGGTATGGTTTTCAAGCAGTTTACTCTAGGATAGGGTATATAAATCAGAGCGTTTGGCTCTAGAATAGGGTATCATTTTTCAGGAAACTGATCAGTTGGTTGAAGATTTTATCTAGACTAGGTACACAGCTAGTCTAGGATAGGGGAATTTGGGGAGTTTACTCTAGTATATACCTGCCAACTCTCACGCCTTAGGCGTGAGTCTCACGCCTGCGGGTTGAAAACTTCGATCTCACGCCGGCTCACGCCTGCGGGCCAATTTCTCACGCCTGTTGCCGTCCTGCTTGAAACAATTTCCAAAAATATGTTAACTCAGACCCATGTAAGGAACGAAAACCATGTGTAAAATGAATAAATGGCAATACCTTCCTCGCGATCTCTGATTTTTGAAGTGAAAAGCACTGGGAGCGAGCTCGCCTTTGGCAGACTTCGGCAGACTTCGGACGTCTTCGGAAGACTTCGGACTTCTTCGGGAATCTTCGGAAATGATAGAGTCGTCTTCAAAAATCCCAGCACTCCCAGGATAAAAATCTCACGCTTATATCTCAGAAAAAGTTGGCAGGTATACTAGTATAGGGTAGCAAAATTCAGCTGAACTAGCTCTGGTAAAGGTTAAGGGTTCCAGGCTCCCAGCGGCACATCCCCACCAAGAAATTCCTAAAGTGCCCCCCCCGGATCAATACCCACCGCACTTTTTATTTGACGCTTCAATAATGGCATCAAACAGATACCTAATTGGGTTAGTTCATTTATGGTTATTCGTAATTCTGTTGGATTTCTTTATTCCGCTTTATTTCATAACAGTTCAGGAAAATAGAAAAAATAGAAAACTAAGAAAGCAAAAAATTGCCCAAAAGGACTTCTGCAAGCAATGGAACGAAAAACAGTATATACAATCAGAATACAGCGCTCTCTCAATTACTCGCCACAACATGAATGAGAGGAAGCTACATTTTTTGTTTGGTAAGAATATTCGACATGGTCACATGGGGATTGAAGTTTCTCTGCGAGTTTTAAAAATTTTACATCTCCAAGTGGCCATGTAATTTTCTATATATGTCGATCACCAATGAGAAAACAAGCCATTTCACATAGCAACTGTGATCTTTTCAGGTGTGAAGATAACATGTTGTATTCACGCGTGACAATGTCATGTTTTAACAAAAAAGCTCACCTGTTATTTCCTCATTGGTGTTTATATAATAACAGAGTTAACACTAAATTACCATTGGTTTACGGTAAACTGTAGTTGTAATAGTTTCGATGTTTGTTGCATCAAAACATTCAGAATTGACTATTTTAGCATTGAGTGCATAAGAAAAAATAAGCCAGATCTTACACGAGCATTCCATTTACAACACAGCCCACCCTTGTACCCAGTGTCTTCGTTCCCGTTGACCAGCGGTCGGGATATGAGCGTCAAGCCAGCATGCGCAGTAAGGGACGAAGACTCGAGGTACGAGATTGAACATGGCCTTAATTAAGTAGGCTTGATTACCACCCCCTGCCCAGGAAATGATTCGGCACTCCTCTTCTGGAAAGTCAAACTCTTCTGAGGACGGACTAAGGAGAGAGGTGGAAATCAAGCCTGCAGGGCTTAGGTTTACTCTCACAAAACAACCTTACTATTCCCTAGTAAAGGAATCCCAAACTGACTTACTGAAAGAAACAATAGTCATGTACATAGATGTTTCAGGATACAGAAATCTTTATTCACATATTTTAGCAAAGGTATTTAAATATTATAAATAATTATAATTGGAGTGATATTACTTGATTCAAGAAATCTTACAATTTGTGACAAAAACAGAAACAAACTAAACAAAAAGAAAGTATACTTAAAGTACTCCACAATCTGTTTCACAGGGTTGATAAAATCACCCTATGGGAACAGTTCAGGTAAACCAAGGCTATCCAAATTTAATCAAACTATAACAACTCCCACATGCTTGTGTAGGAAATGCATTGAGGTAACAAATGAGAATTTCTACTTTAATATTAAGGCTATATGTTAGTGCACGTACGAAAACAATAGAAAGGAGCCGACCTTACCATCATTCATTCATTCATATGCTGATGACAGCATAGTAGCTTACGGGCTATTGGCCAGTAAGCAGAGAAATCACTATTTAGGGTTGACATACTTAATTATTAAGATGTGAGTGGCCCAAAATCTCCATCATTGGAAGAAATTTGTAACAAAATTTCTGCATATGTGTATTTTGAAATTTGGTCAATAGAAGGTTATGACCCTACCCTAAAAATTATAAAATAAATAAGCACATTTCCTTCATAGTTTCTATTTTCATTTCATTTGCAAGCCTGATTCATTCTGATATCATTAAATAGCAAGCCAAAGCCAAAACGCACAGGTAAAGCAAAATTCCACCCTGTTTGAGTGGTGGAGAATGTCTGAAAGCTGGTAAATTTCAGCCTGAACTACGGTTCAATAATTTCCTCATCTTTCTGAAATTATCTGAGGTTACAACAGAGTTTCTACTGTTTATGATTCACCAATATTCCAGGTGGTTAAATAACTCAACATTAACTGCACATAGTGGCAACCTAAGGGAAAAAATGATTTTCATATAAAGTTAATAATATTATCTTAAGGGGGACTTTTCTAAAATGCTGTTGAGCCCTACATTCCTACACTGTACAAAAATAATATATACACCAGCTCAATCTTGCTTTTCCTGTTTTGTCATGAATAGTTACACGTAACAGTCATTTGTCCATTATAAAAATAGGCTCAAGATCCATAATTTTATAGACTACGAGTAGTCCCCCATTTTTCCTCAGGGATAGTAGAGCGAGCGAAACGCGAGCGCGCGTGAAAATCACCCCACGCGAGAAAAGGCGACACGCGGCGGGGAGAGAGAAAAATGACGGACTACAGACAAAGCCCAAGCTTTTGACCCTTCACGGCCGACTGATTTCGGAGTGTGAAGTTCGTATCCCCTTCCAAATCAATTAAGCGCATCCAATCGGCTTCCTTCCCTCATTGAGCTGTCATTGCTCTTGTCATCGGTAAACTGCGGGGGATACTTATTGCAAGCAAAAGAAAACCCAGATACTAATTTTCTTGACAGTTGTTTCGCGTGAAGAACTTGATAGTGTAGGCAACACACGACTTTTTACTCATGCCAAAATGCTGCTTGTTCCAATGAATTCTTTTTTCTGACGGATAGATTATGCTCTGGAGGAAAACGTTTTGACTGAGCAAATTTGATTTTTGCCCCTTATTTCATAATGAGAGGTCGTGACACGTATATTAATTTTCTGCGGTTATTGTCTATGGTCGGCACGATTTGCCCACTAATGCAAGAGCATTTTATTTCCCTTCTTTTGAAAAGTAAAGCTCTTCAATGCGGCTAAATAAGGGTCTAGGGTTGTTTAATTTTTCCGGCGATTGCCTCCTGGATCTGAATGATTTTAAGCGATTATCTTTTTGGCCGTGAATGTGTCGGTTTCCTGCAATGTTTTGTCACGCTGGGCCCAGCTCGTCAGCGTTTTTAGCAGGACGAATAGCGATATCCAAATCTTGCAGAATGGATTGCAGCTTAAACTAAAACTACATCAACTATGGAGAACTGCGATGTGACTCAGTCATGACTGCTCATGAATTTTAACTGCCGCTTGTTTTTCTGGAGATAATGTGAGTATTTGGACTGGAGTGCGTAGTTCCTCCCTTGGTGATAACTTTTGAATAAGCGACTGTTCTGTTATTCAATTCCCACTTTGTGATCAGACAAGACCATGGTTTCGGTTCTCCACGCGAACCTCATCAGTTGCTGGGTTGGCTTTCTTCTTAGTTGCTTCTACAAGAACAACTCTGACTAGTTATTTGTTCTTTGCTGTTATTAGTTCTGCTCTAGTTATTTGTTCTGTAAATTGAGATTATGTCGAGTGTTGATAGCGGCTGGCGCGTTTTTGACAGATGTTGACAGAGTTCCATGGAAGAGCCAATCAGAGTTTTGCATTGTGAGAGCAACGCATTAGTTCAAAAGCTTGGGCTTTGTCTGTAGTCCCTCATTTTTCTCTCTCCCCACCGCGTGTCGCCTTTTCTCACGTGGGTTGATTTTCACGCGCGCTCGCGTTTTGCTCGCTCTACTATCCCTGAGGGAAAATGGGGGACTACTCGTAGTCTAATAATTTTACAATAAAAGATATTATCTACAAAGTTACTTAGGCAAACTTTTTTGCATCCTTAAACTCCTGCATTCCTGCCAAGATTTTAATCTCAGCACCTCAGTGAACCCAAGGCTTGAGTTGACAAAATACTGTACAGTGTGATTTATGCAGAACTGTCCACCCAAACTTCACCCTTGTTCCACTGCAATTACTAATAAATTATTTTGTGAGCTTGTTATAGCAATTAAGTGTGCAGACTGAGGCATGTTTTATGCCCATTCAAAATTCACATAAAAACCATGTGTTTGGAAGTTATTATTGCTCTCTAATTTAAGTATTGTATATTCTTACATACATCCCTTAAATAGACAAAGAATAGAATTATATAATACAACCTCGACCATTAAATGTTTTTGGTAACACATCCTTTATAAGCCTCCACTTACGGCCCCACCCACAAACCTTTATCTCCTCCTCACCTGCATGCAACACTAGTGAGATCTAATCTAACTATATACAAACTTCTGTCTAAAACTAGCTAATTGTATTTAATTCGCATATTTTTTAACAGGCTGAGTTCCTTTGAAATCTGCTGTGTACGATACTTTCCCCACAACCTCAGGGGAATAACTATCGCTGTGATATTGTCCTCTGAACCATACTGCAGCGCACATGATGTTAGTACATTTGCAGCATACTCAGCATCAGGACAGTTCCGTACAAGTTCTGTTACCTCCTTATCAGACATGACATGTGAAATGCCATCAGTATGTAGAACAATAAAAGAATCAGTTTGATGATTAAGCTTCAGCTGTGTTATCTCTGGGGTGGCTATCACACCATAAGGCTTTAGATGAAAGTCTCCAATTGAGCGAGTCATAGCAAGTTTTCCATTAACCATTGCATCAAATCCCCAATCAATCCAGCCGTTTAATGATGTTATTCTTTGCAGTTCATCCTCTCTTGTGGGGTGGTGAGCATTTGTTAATGAAACAGCATCGCCCAGTCTGCAAATTAAAGCACTACTGTCACCAACACTAGCCACAGTTAGATCTGTGCCATCTCGTAGGAGTGCTACTGTTGCTGTTGTACCGCAGTGCTGTACATTTTCTCTGTCACCTAAAACAATAATTAAACACTGTGTAATTAGAAAACACAATAAACTTAATCTAAATGTTTTATTATTAAAAGAGTATTTCTGACGAACTTTGAAGTGTTTCATCTGGTGATGCAACACAGCTGTGTCCCATGCTTGATATTACTTTTCAAACAAAATGATTTTAGAAGGAGAAATTAAGGATTTGAAAGAATAGCAATTTTTTATCTGATTTCCAAACACCCATTAAACATTATTTCCTTTGTACTTTCTTTATGAATTATTAATGAGTTTGAGGAAAGTTTATGGAAAGTACCTCATACAAAGTTGCCATAAATTTTTTATGAATTACTATACACATGTAGGTTCAACGTTGTTCTGTTGTCTCAACAGTAGTTTTCGTCCTTTGTGAACATCCGGTTAATTTACTATTTTTGAAATGTTACCCTCTTTTTTGCGTTAATTTCCTTTATTTGAAAGTTGTTTTCTATTAAATTCACATCAATGTAAGTCGCTTTAATTTCCAATTCCTTAATTTCATGGAGCATTTATTTCCTATAATAAGGTAAGTTTTGTTAGTGGCAGATTAGACAAGATTGACTGTTTGTAACCCTTGAACATCCCAAGTACAGTATTTTTAGTCGGGAAGGAATGCAGGAGTTTTAATTGTTGTTGAACAATCCCTTGTTTATTTAGAAGGATTCAAACTAAGGCCTGAATGTGTCCGAGTTTTTTTATTGCAAATCTGTTGTCTTTGTGTATAGGACATGACAACTGACGTTAGTCCTGTTGCATCCCCTGTCACCATGTTGAGTCATCGTGACCAGTTCATTAATTAAAGTAACTCTGTTTCCACTCAATCAACAGCGGAAGACTCTAATATTGCTAATTCATGCATAACAACAAAGCAAGGATGCTATAAAGTTGTATTTTAAAAGAACTGGAAACTCTGAAATATAGAGTCTTGTGTGGTGAGTCATGCAGACAAACAACTATGACTTGTGAGAATAATATTATCTCGCGGGGCTATGGCTCTTTTCCTTTTATTCTGTACTCGGGAACTTCACGAGGTTATGTCATAATGTCAAAATATTGCGAGATAAAATTGGAGCGCCAGTTTTTCCGCTTCATTTGTCACATGAAATTTGGGAAAAATTTCTGACGTTCATCAACATACACTTTCACATTAAATTTCCTTGAGTGGATGTGGCAAGAGCTTGTTGATGGTTACAACATGCACGTGCTCGATCCAGGTTTTGCAGAGTGTCAACTTTCAAAACATTCTGAAACGCACGCGTGTGGTGAATGAATTATCGTTTCCTCGGAGGAAGAATAAACAGTCAAGGTCAGGATGTACGCAAAAGGAACAGACATTTAGCTACGAAGTATTCATAGTTTTAGAAGTCAGTCAACGGTAAAAAAAATTGAGAAATATCACAGATTTATTGTTTCGAGTACAGACAGTTTCGATTCACTGACAATTCAACCCTTCAGTTGTTTATCACTGTTAAAAGCTTAGTTTCAATTAAAAACTTACCTCTTTCGGTTAGCCAGTGACAGTACTTTTCCAAATCCTCGTTGCATTTGGTAAAAGCTTTGATTAGTACCTTTTCCATGTCTTTATCGTAGCTGTAATAATGTCTAACACAACCATGAAGATGTTCGCTGACGAAATCCACAGCGACTGACCCGCCGTGACCATCAAAGACCGCGAAATAGTACAAATCTGGTTCAAGTTCTACTAGTTGAAAGTTATCTTCATTTGCTGTTCTATAGCCTATAGACGTGCTTTTGCCAACAGTATCCACTGAAACGTTATGAAGAAACGATTTGGCTTCAGCATCATGCCACGCGCCTAAATCATCAAAAGGATTCGAAGAAACATCGTCACCTCCGATATCGCTCCACAGTCTCTGAGTTGATGCGTTGTTTGTAGCAGATTCACTACTGAAATAACGCAAATGTCCACCTAAAATTGCAGCAAATCGAAGTTCGTCTTTTCTTTGAACCACTCTAGATAGAGAACGTAGTCCTACCCGAGCAACGCTCGAGAATTTCCGCCAAAACATTGAAAATACTCACTCCTTGGTAGTTGGTGTTTATGATGGAAATGTGTAGTGAAAGTACTCATTGTGACCGAAGCTTTGCTAAAGACTGTTTATGATTGGACGCGTCTATAAAAAATCGTATTGTGATTGGTTGAAATATGGACAGCGCCCACTTCACGCCTTCAACGTGCAACACTTCGCGTCCGTCTGATGCAATCAAACACCACAGGCATACCAGGTAGATACAGGAGAAGGGTTAACTTTTTTCAGTGTTTTTAGGGGTTAAGGTGGCTCGACTGGATTTTTTGGGGTTCATACCTCCCCAGTTTGAGCATTAACTACGTCGGCATGAGTAAAGATATGGAAAAAAGGTTACCACATCTGTATTATATAAAGATGAAAATTTCTTACGATCTGGGTTTTATTGTAATCGGAGTCGCCATGGCAACGTAATGACGCCATTACGTTTTTCATTTATCTTTGAGTTTCTCTGTACCAGGAGTTTTTTGAAGAAATCGCTTAAGGGAGTATGTACCTGCCATAATTGCCCCCATTATGGCAAAGTTTGAACAAATTCTATGAGAGCGTTTTCGAAATATTTTGAAATGAAGTTTTAAGAATCATAAAAACAGTGAAATAGCATGCTAGTCACACAATTCGCTGATATTTTAAGAAAATGATAAGCTTTAGGAACGCGGCTTCATCTCATAGTGATTTGATTCCATTGAAAACTGCAAACAAAAAAAGAGGGGAATTGCTCTGGGCGATCGCGAGTAAGAAGAATTTTATTAGCTTGCATTCGGCTGCTTTTGATAGTTTTTGGACATAATTTGGTCCATGCCCAAAAATTTCGCATTTTTCCAAAAACCGCTCGATATTTTTTTTTTATAAATTCGACAATCCCGAGATCAATCGTCAAGAAATATTCCCTGCAAGTTTCAAGAACATTGAAAACAGGGAAGGCTTTTAAATAGGGCCTCAAATATCGCCAATTTTTCCCCCAGATTTTGTGTTTACAAGTGAGCGTCCTCATTATTCACTGGCATTGTTTTCAAGTTTCATATGCACGTGCACAACTAGCAAACGATATAAATTTGCATCAAAAAGAACTCTCGATTACTTTCCGAAGAAATATCCGGAATATGCAAATAATTGGCTTGTCGTCATAGATGGCAGTGAGAGCCGAAACGGTGAACGTCACGGCTCATCGTGTAGGATGCAGTACTTAATTACAGTCGAAACCCACTATTTCGAACTCGGTTAATTCGAAGACCCCACTATTTCGAAGGAAGATCGAATTCCCTTGGATTTGCCCTTATGTTTTCAGTCATTTACTATCAGCTATTTCGAACTCGGTTATTTCGAATTCCCCGCTATTTCGAACTCATCGTTCTTTCCCTACACCTTAAATCAACCCCGTTATTTCGAACGTGTCAAAAACAGAGTACGAACATAAGAGCACAGCTGGAAACGTATAGCATTTTATTTAAGCTCGTGTTACGTAATTAATGACTTAACAATGCTTAACTCACGTGCAGTGTCCTGCTAAGAAATTCCAGCTGTGTTATTCAATTGCAAAACCAAAACGCACTGTTAGTGAACTGTTCTTCCGGCAGAAATACTCATGTATGAACTCTGCTGTCTCTATTCTGATCATTCGACATTGTATTTTTATTGAATCAGTGCCTTTCTTCATACTGTACTGTATTTTATTTAAAAATGATTCATTGTTATGAATTTTACGCTTCCCCGGTTATTTCGAAACCCCGCTATTTCGAACTTTTTTCCATTTCCTTTGGGACTTCGAAATAGCGGGGTTCGACTGTATCTCACTCGGGTTATAACATCACAGAAACTCTCACAAAGAGTTGCTCTGATGTTACAATGTATCACTAAAACTCTTTGCCCGGTTATTAGCATATCCCGGAGATCTAACCGAGGGTCCTTTTTGATGCAAATTCTCTCTTTTTGCTAAATGTGCACGTGTATATGAAACTTAAAAAACAATGCCAGTGAATAATAGGGACGCTCACTTGTAAACACAAAGTCTGGGGGAAAAATTGGCTATATTTGAGGCCCTGTTTAAAAGCCTTCCCTGTTTTCAATGTTCTTGAAACTTGCAGGGAATATTTCTTGACGATTGATGTCGGGGTTGTCGAATTTATAAAAAAATTATCGAGCGGTTTTTGGAAAAATGCGAAATTCTTAGGCATGGACCAAATTTCGTCCAAAAACTGTATCAAAAGCAGCTGAATGCAAGTTAATAAAATTCTTCTTACTCGCGATCGCCCAGAGCAATTCCCCTCTTTTTTTGTATACAGTTTTCAATGGAATCAAACCACTATGAGATGAAGCCGCGTTCCCAAAGCTTATCATTTTCTTAAAATATCAGCGAATTGTGTGGCTAGCATGCTATTTCAATGTTTTTATGACTCTTAAAACTGCATTTCAAAATATTTCGAAAACGTTCTCATATAATTTGTTCAAACTTTGCCATAATGGAGGCAATTATGGCAGGTACATACTCCCTAAGCGATTTCTTCAAAAAACTCTTGGTCCAGAGAAACACAAAATAAATGAAAAACGTAATGGCGTCATTACGTTGCCATGGCGACTGCGATTACAATAACCCATCATAACAAATTTTCATCTTTACATAATACAGCTGTGGTAACCCTTTTTCCATATCTTTACTTATGCCGACGTAGTTGATGCTCAAACTGGGGAGGTATGAACCCCAAAAAATCCAGTCGAGCCACCTCAACAACAATTTTTGTTGACAAGATAAGGCGAGAAAATTTTACGTACATTTCCGCTGGAAATCGAAGTAAGAGAAAAAAACTGAGGTTCAGTTTTTTGGGGGACTGAAGTAGTTTTAAGTATTACAAGGACATTTCAAGGTTTCTTTCGTTATTTTTTTATCTCGATTTTACTGTACTAATTAGGTAACTATTTTTAACCATTTTCAATTTTTTTCTCCTCTACCTTCCTTTTACGATATCTGTTCTATTTTAGAATTAATTGTAGATTGGGCCCACAATGTAAACTACTGGACTAACCAGTAATTGTCTAAGCCAGTAAAGTTTTAATTATTTATTTATTCATACCCGTCTAAGTATCATCAATTCTATTGATGATACTGAGCCCACAATCCTAACCTCCAGGTTGATACTACGCATGCATCGTATGTATGTAGCCAGTATTCGTTTGGACTTCCACTAAGAATGAATGGAATGCAAAAACGCAATTTCATCACTTCTACCCCTTGTCATACTCTGGTCACACATGTTTTGACCATCTGTCACAGAGGCGGCGGAGCGTTTTGAAACTTGGGGGGCTCATCTTCCACTCAGCCATACAGATACCCCTACACAAATTTTCCAAAATGCCCTTTGCGTTCGTTGTTCGTTGGTGTCTAGTGCGTCTGTAATCAATTTGTGAAAACTCATCAGTAGGCAGTTGTTGGTGGTCCTTCTTCATTGTGCTTCTTAGGTAGTTCTTGAGTCGTGTGAGGGCAGAAAAGGTGCGCTCTGAAGTCGCTGATGTCACAGGTATTGTCAAATACATCAAAAGTGTTTTTCAGCACCAAAACGTGGGGGAGCTCTGCCCCCCCACTCCGCTGCCTAAGCTGTCAAGTGCAATTATGCTAAGCACAGCGTTGGAGCAAAAGTGTTTGGACCTCCGATTGTTGTCGCCCACACTCTCTAACCGTTGGTTATTACTAGTTACTAGTTATTATCATGTGGCAGTACTAACTTCTGAATGCCCAATTAAACCTGAAAAAAAATTTGCTCTGGGTGCGGCATGTCCTGTAAACTATCTAAAATCTGTAAAATTGTTTGACACGATTGTTTATGACCAATCGTATAACTTTTTGACCAATGAAGATGTCATTTCGACACATCATTAGGGCTTTCGCACTACAGTCAACTGTAACGGCTCTTCCGGAAGCCACTAATAACTGGGCCTTTTAATACAGATCATGGTAAAGTTAATGCTGTGGTTTTAATCGATTTAAAAAAGGCTTTCGATATACACCCAATGCAAAAATGGCTGCCAGATGAATATTCTTTTGTCTGAATTTAAATAAGCCTAACTAACCTCGTTCTCCAGTACAAAATTCTAAAGAATACCTTATCTCAAGCGAGGCTAGTTGGGCTAATTTTAATTTAAACAAAAGAATATTAATCTAGCAGCCATTTTTGCATTGGGTGTATTGTTGATCATGATATGCTTTTATCTAAAACGAACCTTTATGGTACAAGAAACAGCTTTTGATTGGTTTAGGTTGTATTTAACTAATCATACACAACGATGTCTCATTAATGGTTCTCTTTCTAGAATCTGTTCGCTTAAATGCGGAGTACCCCAGGGAACAATCCTAGGTCCCCTTTTATTTCTTATTTACATCACCGATTTGCCAAACTGCCAGATATCCTGCCAGCCTAGGATGTATGCTGATGACACCCACATCATGCACTTCTGAAGACGTTGATGTGAATTCAATACAGCTAAATTTGAATCACGAAAGGGTAATCTAAACAGTACAAATGGCTTATTTTCAACAAACTTTTATGCCAATTGGATCAAGACAAAAATTTAGTACTTTGTTGCGCCCACTCGAGCTCTCAATTGATAATGTTCCAATAGAACAAGTTTTCTCTGCAAAATTGCCTGGAATATTTATTGATGAAAATCCACAGTGGCAAACACATCAATAAATTATCTAAGAAGATTGCTTCTGGGATAGGAGAAATAATATTGAAAGAATTAGGGGCTGTTTACCAGAAGAGAGGGTTACCCTTTTCACAGGTAGGGTTGCCCTATCACCCAGGTCAACTTTAACAGCTTTGCTGACGTGTTTCGTCATGTGCGACATTCTTTTTAACAGTCCAAGATTTAAAATAATCTTTAAGTTCTCTATGGAAAACAGGTAAAATTCAGGAAAAAAAAGGAAAAATATTATCTTCATAGACAGAAAACAACTTTTTATTTTTCAGACATTTTTTATTAAGCTCAGAAATTGGATAGTACTGTTCAAATTGACACGCTTACTGATCACGCATGACAGCGGGAAAGTTGACCAGGGTAGGCAAGTTATCCCTTGCAGAGCATTTACAAGGCAGGTAGGGTAACCATCTTGCTAGGGTAACCCAAGGACTCAGGAAGGGAACCCTACCTGCCTTGTAAACACATCATGTGAAAAAAGAAGAAATATGTGAGTGTTAGGGCTGAACGGGTACACACTATTTGGCAATCTTGTGAGAGATGCGGTTTCTTGGCGTAATGTAAGGGCCTTTTTAAATCAGGATAGGCAATAAAGGCTTTCTGGTGATTCATCAGATTAAGCAGAAATTTGTGTTGGGATAACAGGATTAAAAAGACCCAGTGGCGACCCTCATGACCGTCATTATCAAGACTGAAATAGCCTGCATAGCAAGCGTTCAAAAGGGTATGGAGGGAAGGGTTTCTTGGCTTTCCCTTCCCCTCCCCTCTCAAATGCCTGCCACGCATGCGCAGGCTAAAAAAGATTAAAAACAACATTGAGATCGTCAAGGAAAACGAAGAAATATGTTGTAGTTTACTTTTTATCTCAGGTAATTTGTATTTTTCCTTTGTTTCACCTTTATTAGCATACATTAACATACCCAAATACAAAAGAAAAATAAAAATAACCTGAGATAAAAGTTTAACTACAACAAATACAAGAAAGTCCAGCTAAACGAGAAAAAAATTTTGTGGTTGTCCTGTAAGTCATCTTGAAAGAAGAAATTCCAAATCTATTCATAGAGATGTTACAAAATAACTTTAAGGTGGATCTCGAACCATAACTTTCTTAACATTTTTTGGTAGGCCATCATAAACTGGTTGTGGGATTTTCACATAGAGTTGTGAACTAAAGTCAAACATTGCATCCCTGCCAAGATACCCGTACTCTACCTCAAGGAATGTCTTTAGATCATTTGGCCCTTGAACACTAACCCCTTCAAAGTTGTATGTCTTGAGTGGTAATACACATATCTTAGGGAACAGCTTTCTTCTGAAGTCATAGCTTCCAGGAATATTCCAATTATAACAAAAACAATTAGGATTATCAGGATGTTGACCAAAAGTGAAAACATCTAAATGAGCTAGGGCAGGATCAAACCGTATATCATGTCTTATTCCAAACTCATCCCATAGTTTCTTGGTGGCAAAAAATTTAAGCCGTTTACCACCAACTCCGTTGAAAGGTATCTCATTTCCCTGTTTATCAAACCAACTTGTTCCTGTCACAGGGCACTTATCAGACAGGTTAATGTTACCATCTTGCATAGATAAAAATGAAGGCATATTTTGCATAACTTTTAAGAAGTCAGTCTCAAAAATTGCAACATCAACATCACCATCATGGCAGATCATCTTTCCATTTTCCCTATAAACTGAAAGAGCTGTACCACCGCAAACTAGGTAAGGGATATCCATTTTACTGAGATACTCTGTCACTTGTTTAAGGACATAAACACAAAGAGGTTTAAATGCCTTGTTTTGTCCCATCTTTGATCTGAAGTTTCTCACAGTACAACTATTCCACATATCAAAACTGAGGGAGTTGGGCTCTGCCAAATGCTGCTGAACTTCATTGTTACTGTCGTCTGGTGCACAAATAGCCAAGAAATCATCTTCACTTGTAGCCATCGTAATCTGTAATTCAAAATAAAAAAATTCTATTCCAGCAACAGCCAAAAAATACCCGAAAATTACAAAACTAAAAATTGTTACACAGTAGGCTGTGTGAGCTGCTAAGATGAATGGAATCCTGCATTTTGATTGGCTATTTGAGTGCAGGTAAAATGGGCTCATCTAGCCCGCTCAGAATTTCTCGCTTTCTTTGAGTAAGATAATAAGTTCTTGATTCAAAGACTGAGCTTGTTTGGTCATCATGGCTGGAGATATATCTTGCGTGTTCAATTTTTGCTGCTCTGTCACGCTGAGGGAGGGGAAGGAAAACACGTCATATTTTGCAGTGGAGACTAAGAGAGTGAATTAATTGTGTACGTTGAGACTTAAGAGCACAGAGCCTCACATCAGGGAAAATATGATTGCTTTCTTTGCATTCTCCAACCAAAATCAAATCTCCCGAAGTCTTCACACCAACAGCACTTTTAAAGTTTTCAGGGCAAAAAGAAGCAAATAATCCTCTATTATAAATGCGATAATATCATCCAAGAAAGCTGCATTTACATGTCTTGCACAAAGAAGCAACACAAAATACAACCAGACTGATGCTGATAGCTTATCTGTTTAAGGTTGTTTTACATGCCAAATGTAATTCCCTCTCCGCCTTACTTTGCCAATGTCCTGGTCACCATCCAGGATTAATAATATTATTAAGGACCCTTTAGTCCATCATTACTTAGAAGTACATCTGCCACGCTTAAGCAATCCTCACTTCAATACATGTCTCACTTGAACTTATTAGTTAATAACTTTTGGATCTTTTAAAATATAATAAATTTAGATCCATATCTATTAAAATGTAACTTAGTTAATCAAAATTGAAAGTTTTATAATTAACAATTAGTTCATGCGTCAGCGTGCGTATGTCGAGATATTGAGCACGCGGGAAGTTTGGAGAGCACGAAAGAGGCGTAAGAGTTGCACGAGGCGCAGCCGAGTGCAACTCTAGCCTCTTGAGTGCTCTCCAAACTTCCCAAGTGCTCAATAACTCGACATACGCACAGCTGCAGCATGAACTAATTGTTTTATAACATCATCAAAGCGATCAATGCATCAGTTAACTTATAATTTTATTATTGTAGGGTGCGCTCAAAGCAGTACGCGTCAATGTTTACGTGACTATATATTTTTTTTCCTCACAGTTAATCTTATGTTTTTATCCTGAAACTGAGAGAAAGTGTACTCTAAAATGATTATAAAATCCATATTTAGGTGCCGGAAAACTATTAATTTACCGAAAAATTGTTATTGAGAGAAAACAAGTTTGCAAAGAATGAACTCACGCCATAGCCCGCACAGCTCGCGGAGATGACAACAACAACAACAACAACACTCACCTCTTTTCCTTACTATCGGTTAACAAATTCAAACGTTTCCTCTTAAATTTCCTTATAAAACACATCGTAAACGCTTCCTTGTCTATTGCTGAGTTATGGATGAACTCAGGAGACTCAGGATTGCTAAGCTCACAACCACTCGAGGAATTACGAATAGTTTATTGACGTCATCAGCGTGCTCAATAGGAATATGAAGCACGCTCGCGCTATTGAATTTGATTAGGCGAATTTTCTAGCTATGTTATAACATCATATATGTACTTTTTATATTATGAATTAATATATGTTATATAAACACCAATGAAATACCAAGTGAGCTTTCACACCAAAACGCGATATCTTCACACGTGACAATAACATGTTATTTTCACATGTGAAAATATCACCGTTGCTATGGCTACATAATAAATTGCTCCTTTTGCAGGAAAAAACTGTTTCATTGAAACGATTTAGTATTTCATTGGTGTTTACATAATAAATAGAACATTACAAGGCCGCTTGGAGATACGAAATTCCTCTTCTCGTGTTGAAAATATTTCACTTGTTCGCTGCGCTCACTCGTGAAATATTATTCAACACTCGAAGAGAAATTTCGTATCTCCGCGTGGCCATGTAATATCCTCTAGACCATTATTATTATTATTTTTATTATTATATATTATTATTATTATTATTATTATCTAGACTCATAAATTCTATTTTATTTTATTTCATTTTATTACCATTTTGCCAATACATGTTAAATATGTACACAAAATTTAGCCCAAGGAAGCCAATAAGGCTTATGAAAAGGGCCACCTTTAAAAATATATGACTTAATTACTTAAAGAAAATACTGGCATTAGCAAGACAATTTAACTAAACAAATACCATTTTCTTTACAACATAGAAAATAATCATTCAATAGGATAAAA